CATGCTTACTCTATTTACAGGCTCCCTCAATGTATCTGTCGCAGATAGCTGCTTCATTACCTGCCCAAAGACAGGGCTGAAGGTCATTCTAGAATACCAGGAGGAGGGCTGGCTCGGTCGATCACAGAACAAGGTCCTGGGTGTCATCTTCAAGTATGACCCCAAGAATGATACTGTTACCAAGATCAAGGATGTATCAGAGAAGGATGTCCTTGCGCGGATAGAGGGCAACTGGCAAGATAAGGTCTACTACACCCTCGGCAGCAAGCCATTCGCCAAGGTTGCCGTAAGTATACTGATTAGTAGTCTGCACCACAATCTAACATTTTAACAGGAGAAGAACCTCATCATCGACCTCAACCCGCTCGACCCCGTAGCCAAGATCGTTCCACCGCTTGATCAGCAGCTTCCCAACGAGTCCCTCAAATTTTGGGATGGCGTCACAAATGCCATAGTAGGCAAGCAATATGGACTAGCGACAAACCTCAAGACCGAGATCGAGGAGAAGCAACGGCAGAAGGCGGCGGAGCGCAAGGCGGCGGAGAAAGAATGGAAACCACGATTCTTCACTGGAGCAGTCACACCTGTCGGCAGACCAGACCTCACCAAGGACGGCGAGGAAGCTCTGAAGGGTTTGCACGCGGAGAACTACCAACTGCCACCAAACGAGGAATACGCCGCCTTTTGATCGCATCCTCTTTTTCTCGAATGTTAGGAAGAAATTGCAGAATAGGACAAACCAGTACAGCAGGACCTTCACTACGATATCCACTATATTTTGACTCTTCGGGGAACACGACACCCTCATTTGGCATCACTCACAATATCGGGACGTTTTTTTGTTGATTAAGAAGAGGGGAGCATTGGCTTGTTCGGCGTTCTCGTACATAACATTGGGACCTACACGTGGTGTTTGTGTCCTTTCTGTCACGATTATCTTACGAATAGATCTCTCAGACTGCTTGCCTTGATAAAGGCTTTCCGTCAATTGACCCCTTTAGTGGGAACCATGACTTGTCGAACAATCATTCCAAAGCGCCTACGTTATCCCTAAGCAACAATACGCGTAAGTTTTCGCAAAAGATGGAGATATTCAAGCGTCATTCATACACAAAGCTGCGTCTTGTTTTTTGAGGTGGCAGTCTGGTATGGGCTCGCCCTAGCAGTGGGTTCAACAAGATGAGGACGACGAAACACTCCAACGTACCGAGGACATATTGAATGGAACAAATGACTATTTAGACAAATGAATGACTATTGCAATGGATTCCGGAGCCAATCCCATATGTTATTGGATGTTTGGATTTTCTTCTGATATTGGTGATCCTTTTCATTATGGAAATTCGACCCCGAACATCAGGTAAATATTTGCAGCAAGTTGCGGGCATTATTCAATATCGGAACTGCTCAAGCCATATTTTGGTATACTGAGATCACACAGAACGATCACTTTCATCGGGAAAAGGACAGAGTTGTGCAATCGTTGGTTTTTGTTGAGTTTTGTATAGTTTCAATGTCCAGCTAAGCAGTGTCGCGACAGGATCCTTTGTCGACAAGACATAACTCAGTGGAATTGTGGGAAGTATCGCAAGCTGCAGATGGGAGCTGCACAATGAACCGCTGCGATGAGTATGCAGGCGGTGGTGAAGGATCTAGATAACGCCGGTATTCCGCCATGCAATACAATACCATCGCCCTTTGTGACTGTGCTAGTATCAAGAAAAACCCATCGTACGCCAGAAAGATCACCAGTACTAATACATACAAGGATATACACAAGGTACTAACGTCCACATCAGACGCAATCGATGTTGCGCATCCGGGGACGGTAGAGGGGAAAGTCCCATCAAACACGACTTCGCAAACGTTACAAGAGAAATAACATTCTTAAGCCGTGTTGTGACCACAAAAGCCAGGTCACTGTAAACCGGCCTTGTTGGTCTTGACAGTATGCGGAATAGGTTGCAAAATTCCCTTGTTGTCGGCAGTACCGAGAGCAGTGCCCTTGGACCACCCCATCTTCATCATCAGAGCATGACCCTTGTTTTCCGGGCCCAACTCTGGTGCGTTTGCGCCAACGGTCTCACCGTCCTTGTAACCCAGCAGAGGACGGGAACGTGCACCTCCCTGTTTGTGTTTGACAGTAGAGAACTTCCCGGGACGGCCGCCACCGCCCTGCGAATAGAGAGGACCTTTGAGGCGCTTCTGGAAGCCCTTCTTTGTAATCGCAATATCAAACTCGTCATCAGTATATATGCGCGTGCGATTGGTCTTGGAGAGGATAGTAAATCTGTCGTTACCATCGCCACGGGAACGGGAGTTCAAATTGAAGAATGAAGCGGCTTGGTGGACGGTGGCGCGGCGATAGGCCTCCATGGGCGGTAGAGACAGCGTCTGCATGTCACCCACCAAGAACTCACGAAGCTCTTCGACAATGTCCTCCATGTCAATACCACCCTGGTACTTGACCTTGAGATTGGGACCTTTACCCTTACGGCCTAGTAAGCCTTGTTGACGCAGCTCCTCACGCTCCGCCTTCTTAAGGCGCTTCTTTTCTCTATCATTTGCCCACGCGCTCTGTAGCTGTTCGTTGAGATCGGAGTCATCCAATTCTGGCGGTGGCTGGCCACGTCGGCCCTTCTTCTTAGGCTTTAAGGATGGGCGCTCAGTGTCCATGATGTCAAAACCGCCATATGGGTCCATCTCAAGGGCTGCAACCATAGCAGAGGCCGAGGGGAAAGTAGGTTCCTTGTTACCTCGTCCACGTCCCTTCTTTTTGCTAGGTCTGCTGTAAGCGCCATACGAGTAGTCGTTGGCAGGGCCTGAGTCGTCGAAGAAATCGTCGCCAGCATACAACATTACCTCGTCGCCACCGAGGCCAAGTTCTTCTTGCTTCTGCAAGATCTTCGCAATAGTCTCGTCGTCGAGTTCCTCTTCGTCTTCGTCGTCTTCGTCGTCGTCGTCATCGTCGTCATCGTCGTCGTCATCTTCATTCTCGGAGTCACTACTGGAAAGCATCTGCTGTTCACGTTCATAGACCTCTGCCTCGAAAGCTTTGATCAACCGCTTCTCGTCGGCAGTCTTGAGATGTGTGTAAGACAGCCAACGGGCATCGTCCGTGACAGAGTTTTCGTACACGCAGAGATATTGGAGGCCACTCTTGCGGGTGCGCTTTGATAGAATCCGAACGACTTTGTCCATCACATCTGATGAGGTGCTCATGTCTTCGAAATCCTGCAACATGTCTGAATCCCAGTTGTCGCTGCCCTCGCCATCGTTGCCACCGTCTTGACTTCCGGACACCGATTCCCAATCGTTGTGGCTGCCTGCGTCCAGATCCATTTCACGACGAGCGAAGCCAGATGTAGCCAGCAGGTCTTCGGTGAGACCGAACTCTTCCATGTTCTGCATGTAGTCGTCAATAGCTGCGTCACGGGGGTTCACCTCGCCGTGCAGATGGTCATTCATGTCGGGACGGTCAGCATCAGGCAACCATCCAATATTGGGCTTGCTTCGGTGTTGCCATTCGGTAGTTTTGCCTTCCCACGCAGGCCTGCCTCCTCTTCGCCTCGCGAATTGGTCTTGATCAACGTCGTCAGCATCTGAGCCCACTTCTGCTTCTAGCCGAGAAGCAGCATTGCCTCGAATACTGAGCTCAACCGATACTGGGGCGTCGCCTGTCACAATCACTGATGCACGATCGACGGCTGAGGCAGTTGTGAACTCAGGCGTCTCAACAGGTGGTGTTTCTACTGCAGGAGTAGACTGTAATGGTCGTGATGGTGTGCCTTCGAAGGGTTGTGGCGTGGCGGTAGGCGTGGCTTTGGGTGCCTGTTCTGTAGATAAGGTGGCGACGGGAGCGGCAGATGACTGGTTTCCACGACCTCTGAACAGCACCTCATCAGCGCTCGATGATGAAGCCTCGGAGAGCGCAGGCGAGGGGCTGCGGATCGCCATGTGTGCCATTGCTGTCGTGTTGTCGGGTGTGGAAGAGGGCGAGGACGGTGTATTTGACTCGGCGCCAGAATCAGACGAGACCTGAGCAGTATCTGTTTCAGGCGTGTCCAGTTTCTTCAGCGTGCCTTCGAGGTGACCGGCACTTATGAACTCGATAGGCATGTGTCGCAATTTCTTGCCAGCCTCAAACGCAGCGGTGCGGTGACTGGACATCCATTTTGCTTCGTCCTTGAGGGAGAATTTGGACGCGGCTGCTGTAGGAACGGTCAACACGACCCAATCATTGGGGACTGGAAAGGAGCGCAAACGTACTCTCTTCATGGACTGGCCATGACTGGTATGAGTGGCGTTTGGAAGGCGCGCGCTGCGGTGTGCTCTTAGCTGAGCCGCCTTTGGCCTTGCTCTTGCCCTTTTTGCCGCGCGACATGACGATGGCGGTGCGACGAGAGTTTGCGGTGAAAAGGAAAGGAAAGTGCGGTGGAAGCTTTTGGAGATGATGCGCTCTTCGATGTCTCGTCGCGAGTGGCGCGGGGCTAGTAATGATGCGCAGGGTTAGCTCAGCGGAGCTTATGACGATGGGGCCGCTGGTTATCGCGCTGTAGGGAGCTCTCAGCTTGCCGAGAGAACAGTAACAAGTCCCCAGGCGGATAATCCATCACAGAAAGGGTAAATCTGATGCGCTTGAATGAAGCATGGTATACTTGGTCGTGGTACATGCTCTCGCCAACGCATTCCGGAAGCGTGATTGATGTTAAGTGACACCCGTGGGCAGCCAGGTGATAGCCACCGTGGACCCCTCCCCCGCGGGAACCTTGGGTCGTAGAGCCGCATATGACCTCTGCGGTTCGCTGCACCAACTGAGCGAGTTCAACATCGTGCTTCTATTCTATCTCTCTTCCAACACCTTTGTGTCGTGGGCATGTGTGAATAGTCGTGGCAAGTACGAACGCATGTAGCCAGCTCTAGGCAACCTCATCTCGGACCTCCGCATCACCTCCGCATCCATCGTCGCCCTGGCCACACCACCTATAGTTGCAGCCATCATGCATGACTTCGAGCGCGTTACCCGCAACGTCGTCCGCACCTTCTACGACCCTCCGCCTACGAACGACTCCAACGAACCCATATGGCTGCTGGGCCAACGTTACGACCCCCGTCCTCCGCCATCCAAGCCTACGCCTACTGATTCCCCATCCGCCGGGACACCCACGCCCCAGTCCGAGCGCAACGAAGATGAAAGCTGGATAAGGACCAGCATCGAAGAGACAGAGCGCAGAGAAGCTCCAAATGGCGAGGATCCGGCACAATACGGCAACTGGCCCTCTGCCTTCCTCGACGACTTCGAGTCGCGCATATGGATGACCTACCGCTCTGGCTTCACGGCCATCCAGAAGAGCCAGGATCCAAAGGCAACAAGCGCCATGAGTTTTCGCGTGCGCATGCAGAACCTCGCTTCACCTGGCTTCACATCGGACACGGGCTTTGGGTGCATGATCAGGAGTGGGCAGTGCATCCTCGCCAACGCGCTGCAGATACTACGTCTCGGGCGGGACTGGAGATACCAAGAGAAGCCTGATGAAAAGGAGCATCAAGAGATACTCTCCATGTTTGCCGACGATCCGAAAGCGCCCTTTTCTATCCATCGCTTCGTCGAACATGGCGCTGCTGTATGCGGAAAGTACCCTGGCGAGTGGTTTGGTCCCTCGGCAGCAGCACGTTGCATACAAGATCTAGTGCACAAGAATAAGGAAGCTGGGCTGAGGGTCTACGTGTCAGGCGATGGCGCTGATGTGTATGAGGATAAGCTGAAGGAGATCGCCATGGAGGATGACGGTGAATGGCAGCCTACACTAATCCTAGTCGGCACGAGGTTGGGTATCGACAAGATTACACCAGTATACTGGGAAGCACTGAAGGCGAGCCTGCAGATGAAGCAGAGTATTGGTATTGCAGGGTAAGGCGCAACGAGCATCTCGCATGCTTCATTAGTAGTTACACTGACTGTTCTAGTGGCCGACCATCAGCGTCACACTACTTTGTAGCCACGCAGGCGAACAACTTCTTCTACCTCGACCCCCACAGCACACGCCCACTCCTACCCTACCGCCCTCCTCCATCGTCCACCGAGAGCGAGGCAGGAGCGTCATCTTCCACACTAGAAGCCTCAGCAACGTCCACCTCGTCATCCACGACCATTGTTCCTTCATCAAACGCATCATATTCCGCAGAAGAACTCGCAACCTGCCACACACGCCGCATCCGCCGTCTTCAGATCCGCGAGATGGACCCCTCCATGCTCCTTGCATTCCTCATAACATCGCAGGAAGACTACGATAACTGGAAAGAAGGCGTCCGCAGCGTGCAAGGTAAGAGCGTGGTTCACGTGCAAGACAAAGAGCCAGCGCCGCGAGGACAGGAAAGAGAGGGTGCTATTGACGAAGTTGAAAGCTGGGATGAGGATGGCTTACAGTAGACTGTAGTCTTCTTGCTTGCTCTCCCTCTCTTGGTGGCGTTCTCTCTTGGGTCTCGCAATGATATCATACGGGTACATGCATGTCTGGAGTTTCGGCATTGTTGATATGGATTCCTTGGGTTTGGCACATGTATATCCGTAAATGCCGCGTTTCCATGTGCAATCCACGTTCTCTGGTAGTTATTTGCTCATGATGACAGTCCCAAAAATTGCCATGCGGAGTCTGTGTCTATCATCATAACTGTGAAATCGGCCGGTTGACGCAAAATGGAGCTCTACGTCATGTGAACCAAAGTCGTACAGCACGCGACTGCTCCGGATGCGGCGTTGCGAAAGGCGCGCTTTTGACGCGTATCTCCGGATACGGTACACGCGACCTCGAGCGCGTCGGTATCGCGCTTCGACCCGAATTCCGCGCGTTTTCCCGTGTGCGCATTGTAGACAGATGGCTACCAAGTTCGACCGTTCCTTTCGTGCAAAGGGTAACTGAGTATTAGCGGGTCAATCAGTGTAGAAATAGAAGAGGAAATGGTTGGAGAAATTGGAGTCATATGTGAAGTTCGAAAGAATTGATTCGTTCCCGTCTGCTGTGGTATAATGTACAGACCCTGATGGACCTCGTAGTCGAATACGACTAGATGATTCGATGACAGACAAACCGACCCATGATCACATTAGCAAAGGACCCGTGAACACCGCACCCCATAACCACTTGTCGGAATAGACAAGAAAGACCCAAAGAAAACATCCAGCGAAAAGAAAGCACTCTATTTGGTGGAAGAAGAGTACTTGGTAACAGCCTTGGTACCCTCAGAGACGGCGTGCTTGGCAAGCTCACCAGGCAGGATCAGACGGACTCTGTGAATGAAGTCAGTATATGCGATGGATTGTAGAGGAAGTATGGAGAACGTACGATGTCTGGATCTCGCGCGATGAGATGGTGGACTTCTTGTTGTAGGCAGCGAGCTTGGAGGCCTCAGTGGCAACACGCTCGAAGATGTCGTTGACGAAAGAGTTGAGAATGCTCATGGCGCGGTTGGAGATACCGGTGTCGGGGTGGACCTGCTTGAGGACTGCAAAGACGCGTTAGCAAATTTTGCTCAATGGAAACCGATGAAGCAGATTGCTTCAAAGACTGGATGTCGCGCTCAATGACGCGCAAATGGCAAACTTACCCTTGTAGATGTAGGAGGAGTAGGTCTCCTTCCTGGTCTTGGTGCGCTTCTTCTTGTCGCCAGAGGGCGCGGCGGTCTTCTTGCCAGCCTCCTTCTTCTCAGCGGGAGCCTTGCCGGCCGGGGCCTTGCCGCCGGTGGTGGGAGTCTTCTGGGCCTTGGGGGGCATTTTGAGTGATTTGGTGGAGTTGGGTAAAAAGGGTGGATTTGAGTTAAAAGCAGAAGCTTTTAGTGAGATGGAGTTGGCTGAGTGTCGTGGTGGGAGTTTGCGATGGATGAAGGGAAAGGTCGTCGACGGCGGGGGACGCGCTACTTATGGGGAGCGCGCTCTCATGTTGTGATCCAGCAGGCGGCTGGGAGGCCCGTGCGGTAGCTCTTGCCAGTTTAGTAGCTAAGCGAGGCCCGCGAGTGATCTTGCGCTGACTTGCGGCAGGCGCTAGACGGCGTCGCTGCCTTTTCGCGCGCTAGCGTGGGCAGGTTGATCTCGCGCACTCGCAACAGTCCAGCGCCGTCCTTATAAGACCGCCCCGCCCCCCAACAGCAGCAAGCAATCCATCGTCTCGACACTCCACGCCCACAACCAGCTCAACCCGCTCACGCAACTCATCTCTCTCACCACTCCCACTTTCTCAAATAACCCACCCCAACCAAACTCCTTCAAAATGACTGGCGGCAAATCCGGAGGCAAGGCCAGCGGCTCCAAGTCCAGCGCTCAATCGTAAGTGTTTCCATCTCCTGCATCGCGTCTTGAGCTTGAGTTTGCCTTGCGCATTCTTCTGCTTCAATTCGCATCTTTTTGACGCGTCTTTTGCTTGATTGACGCGTCTTTTCGCATTGCATCTCCAACATTGCATCATAGCTAACTTGTCCTTAGCCGTTCATCCAAGGCCGGTCTCGCTTTCCCCGTCGGTCGTGTCCACCGTCTTCTCCGCAAGGGCAACTACGCTCAGCGTGTCGGTGCCGGTGCCCCCGTCTACCTCGCTGCCGTCCTCGAGTACCTCGCTGCTGAGATTCTCGAGTTGGCCGGTAACGCTGCCCGCGACAACAAGAAGACCCGTATCATTCCCCGTCATCTCCAGCTCGCCATCAGGAACGACGAGGAGTTGAACAAGCTTCTCGGACACGTCACCATCGCCCAGGGTGGTGTCCTCCCCAACATTCACCAGAGTACGTTGCATCATGGTCTAATCGCATCGCATCAGTTGCTAACATATTTTCAGACCTTCTGCCCAAGAAGACAGCCAAGCCTGGCAAGGGTCCTTCGCAGGAGCTCTAAACGCGTCCTGCATTTGAGTTTCTTCTTCACGGCGTGGTTACTTCATGGGTCTTTTTCATCTGCAATGATAATGGGAGTCGGTCTGGGTTTGGGTTCTCGGCTTTTTACGGGATTTATACCAGAGCTGTATATTAGCTGGTTGTATTGACGACCGCGAGCTCATGAGCTGAATCGAGCATATCACTTCATCATTTGTCTTTTGCCGTGACTTTGCCTTGGTTTGCAATTAGTTTTGTACTGTGTCTGCGAGTTGGCGCTTGCAGATTGAGCGGTGGAGGTACATCGGGAAGCTATCAGCCTCACACCAGCCATTCCTCATACCGGTAGATCCACGCGGCACGCGATCTCGAGGCGGTCAACTGGTGCGACAACGTTGCATTCGGCAAGTCTGCGATTGCGCAAATTTGACAATACACTCTGCGTAGAAGTGCCGTGTAGAAATCATGCAGTTGTAATTCTTGCAACTCGAAACATACGTGAAAGCAGATGATAATAATCCACATGTGCACGGTATCCAGCGTCGAACTTGGACGTAAATGTCTCAAATCATACTACCTGGGCGATTGCCGCTCCAGAAACGGCACAGCGGGGTACCCCAGATCCTCCACATAATGTCTTTGACTTGGTCCATAATACGCTATCAACTTATAATGCTTACCTGTGTAGAAGACTTTGTATTTTTATCCGAGCCCATGAAGTTACATATCAGTATGCTTGGATACTATCGTACTGCCAACGTCAACCAGTAGGTACGTGCATCTCAGTCAAGAACATGACTTTCTATGTATGGTCACCTCGTAAGACGGATCTAGTATCTGATATCTCACTTCATGTATGATAGCTTGCAAACAAGAAGCATATGCGTTAGAGCGTGCTGTCGGGTATCTTCTTGTGATTATGTAGCCACCTGCGCTGTTATCTCAAGGGTGAAAACCCACATACTACTTGAACTACACCTTTTTCCAAATAATACTGCATGTCCTTCTCGCGATGGATGCTTTTTGCTTGTGTTATATATTCGCATGGCTTCTTCGTTGGTTGCTCATATTTCACAAAGTGTCAACGTAGTCATTGATGAATTTGGTATTTAATACCGAACAACAACTCATTCAAAAAATTGTCACAACCCACCACCATGCTCAATTCACTCGAGACTTTGTAGAGCGACCAATAGCATATCTATAGTCTCTCCAGATGTCTTTTTAGAATTAAATTCCATGGTGGTGGGGGGTTTTCATGTGACGTCATACGAGAGACGCGACCACCAGACGCGACCACACACTACTGACACGCCGGAGGTGTATATACGTGTATATCTGGTTACATGCGCATGATACGAATAAAACAGGCATGATGAGGGATTTGGCACAAAGTCTACAACGACACTTGTGGAAATTTACGCGTCAATTCCTGCCTGTCCACGCAAAGGCGCGACATTGAAACCTGGACACATTGATGCATAAGGCAAGAGAGGAAACGTTCAACATGCAATTAGCCACCTATTCATATATACCCGGTTTTCCATGCGACACATGTACACGTTATGAATCAATCAATGCATGTATAAATGTCTCATTGATCCATCCGACCACATCTCCCCTATCCTACTACTAGTTCCCGCGCTTTCGCCCGATAACCCATCCACCAAAATATGCAAAAATAGAAGACTGCAGTACCGAAGCCTACAAGAGCATCTTCCTGGGGTCCTCAATGTACTCCTTGACCTTGACCAGGAAAGTGACAGCTTCCCTTCCGTCAAGCAGTCGGTGGTCGTATGTGAGCGCAAGGTACATCATCGGCCTAATCTCGACTTTTCCGTTGATAGCGACAGGCTTCTCCTTGATGGCGTGCAGACCAAGCACAGCGGTCTGGGGAAGGTTGATGATGGGAGTGCCCATCAGACTGCCAAAGACACCGCCGTTGGAGATGGTGAAGGTACCACCAGCCATGTCCTCAATGGTGAGCTTGTTGTCGCGCGCCTTCTTGCCAAGGTCGGCGATGGCCTTCTCGATGCCGACCATGTCCATGCTCTCGGCGTTCCTGACAACGGGGGTGACGAGTCCCTTCTCAGTGGCGACGGCAACGGAGATGTCGACGTAGTCGCGGTAGACAATGGTGTCACCACCATCGGGACCCTCGATGGAAGCGTTGACGGCAGGTACGTCGCGTGCGGCGAGGATGCAGGCGCGTGAGAAGGCGGACATGAAACCGAGCTTGACGCCCTTGTTCTTAAGGATCTCGTCCTTGTAGAGCTTGCGGAACTCCATGATGGAGGACATGTCAACCTCGTTGAAGGTGGTCAGCGAGGCGGCGGTGTTTTGCGACTGCTTCAAGCGCTCGGCGATACGAAGGCGCATGCGATTCATCTTGACCTACGAGCTGTTAGTACAAATATCTCCATGGGCATGGGATACATACGCGGCGCTCCTCACGGCTGCCAGGTGTGGCCGGCTTAGTCTCCTCTGCCTTGGAGTCCTTCTTGGGTGGTGCAGGCTTGGATTCTTGCTTGGGCGGTTGGGGCTTGGATTCCTGCTTGGGAGGCTCAGGTTTTGACTCCTCCTTTGGCGCTTCAGATTGCTCCTCCTTTGGCTGAGACTGCTCTTGCTGGCCTTCGGGTTGCGACGAAGTCTCCTGGTCCTTAGATGCGGGTTCCTTTGGCTGCTCGCTGGCCTCCTTCTTTCCGCCCTCTGGGGCACCACCAGCCTCAAGCTTTACGATTTCCTGTCCAACGGTGACGGTGTCCTCCTCGTTGACGAGGAACTCCTTGATGGTACCAGCCTCGGGCGCGTTGACAGCAACGTCGATCTTGTCGGTCTCAATGGTAGCGATCTCTTCATCCTGCTCAACGTAGTCGCCGACCTCTGCATATTGTGAGCTGGTGATGTATCCATTTGAATAAGGCAGACGCACGTTTTGACCACTGCTTCAGGGTTCCCTCTGTGATCGACTCGGCCATCTCAGGCACCTTGACGATGGTGTCGGCATAGCTTCTTGTCTGGTCGAGGGACCATAGGCGTTGTGACGACAGCTGGCCAGGCCGTCTGTAAACAGTCAGTGGTGGGCATATTGATGCACAGAGTGTTTGATATTACCTTGAGGCTTGACCGAGGAGGCCAGACGAGTTCGCTTTGGAGATGGCGGAATAGCTGCGCGCGGCAGGAATGGCTCGTGGGCTTGCGCGCAAAGCTCGCACAGAGCGCATGGCCGCCGGTAGACGGCGTAGACACTGCTGGCCGGACATGATGGGCAGCCAAGCGAAGAGTGGGAAAAAGGAAATAGGAATGCGTGCGAGAGCGATGGGCGGCTTCGAGCGAGCGAAGTTTTGAATATGAGTCCTCCTGAGGCAATTGTACGGTACTGAAGCAGGTGCAGGCACAGGGCACCGGTTCTGACGTCTCGGAAGCCACCCTCCGTCACAGGCACAAGTGCCAAGCCCGCGACCTCACGCTGCCCTCACCAAGCCATCTGCGACAACAGCGAGGCATTGCGGCCACGAACCACGTTTCTCCCTTCCGCCACACCCTGCACTGGAAGGGCCATCGCCGTCATGAGCTCCAAGATACACGTCCTGTACGCCAAATCCCCGCCCGCCTCGCCTTTTACGCGCAGAAACTGACGCAGCCGCAGACGCCTCTACAGGCGGTCCCTCAAGCTCGCCCTCGACTGGAGCGTCCACCGGTACCTCTGGCGCGGACAGGCCCTGTACATCCGCGAACTGTTCGAGGCCAAGCGAAATGTCACTGAGCCGCGACAGATGAGGGTGCGTCTCCCTGTTGCACCACCGCCATCCCATTTACAACTCGACACATATCGTGGCTACATAGGGGACTCTACTGACGAGTCGCATAGGAACTGATCAAGGAGACGGAGAACCTGCTCGAGAAGTGGAAGCACCCAGACCCTTACCGCCCACCTACGGCTCCTGGAGGTTCGTTGCTCATGCCCGGATACATTTCCGCATCGGCCGCGGATATGACTGTACTGACGGGTGTTGTAGGATCAAAGTACGAGCGCAACCTGCCGTGCCCAATCATCGATCGTGAGTTCATCATCCATCATTTTCACTCCATCTGCTGACGACCCCCAGCTCCACCGAAGATGATCTTGTAATCGGGGATAGGAGAACAGGGCTGTGTCCACTTGTAAATATCACAACGGTAGTGCGACTAAGCAGTAAATCGCAACAACAAGAAAGCCAAAACTTACGTTTCTTTCCTTCAACGAGACTACCGACCTCAAAGACCTTGACGTCTCTATCCCTGTTCTGTACTTTCTTCTCCTTTGTGACTATCACCCACCTTTTCAAGTCCAGGTTACTATCGGTGTTTGCCAACGTCTGTCCGTTAGCCTCGTCAATGTCGCAAAAGTCAAATACGCATCCGTTGATACAACAGCACCACCTAAAGCAGCAATTCCAGTGCAGGTAGTCTTGGATCTGAGGATGACATTGTAGTACTTATCATATTTGTTTCTCATCAAGAAGTAGGAATATAATCTTTCCTAGGTACTTTATCAGGTCTGAAACTTCCTCACTCTGCGTACAGTGCTAAGATATCCCATGTCATCTACGAGGTCCGCCTTTTCAACCCAAACGGGCATATTATCGACAGTAGTTGCTGGTTTGACCCCTCTTTCCTGTGCGTATGCGTCCTCCAAGAATGCCCATTCCGGCACGTCGCAGCATCCACCGACAATGATGGTCCTCTCGGGCGACATATTGTACAACAGAGGCTCATGAGTCTTTGGTACCAACACTTCTACTATCTTCTTCTCAGGATTGAAGCCCCTGATAATCGCTGTACAAACCATTCTCGTCGTTCGAGGATCTAGTGGTTCTACCATGCCAGTACGTTCAGACTCTGGAAGATATGGAATCCCAAATTTTTGTGTCTTGGGAAGCGAGCCGTTAGGAGTAGGAACGGCAGATGATGTGGATTGAATGATTTGCACGATGGAGCCATTCAATGCATGCAGCAATGAGGATGGCTCGACTGGCTCAGAGTACATTGCGAAAGCAACTACATCCTGTTCTCGCTCTAGGGTTTCTTCGTAGCAAAACTCCCAGGGTACCAGCTGTGAAAGAGGATCTGGCGTCCAATTGAGAAGTTGGGGCTGGCCCTGGCTCGTACTGCTTGATCTGAGATGGAAGTAGGATTGCATCTGCATAGCGCTTAATTCATTCTCCGACCTTATAGGGATCGACTGGGGCTGTTGCGCAGTAATCTCATAGAGTGTGCCGTGGTATTGCGATGTTGATGTTTGAAGTAAGTGCAACCTTGCCGCTGTTTCAGTGTCGATGGCTCGTGTATCGCTGAGGTGTACGACATTATGCGGTTTGATCCTCACTATCAGCTTGTTTAGTAAGTCGAAATGTGAGGAGTAGAGAAAGCTGGGTATGTCGACAACTAATGGTAGAGACGAATCTCGAGAAGAAAGATTCCTGTATGCCAAGAAAAGATCCTCAAAACAGGATTGATAATAGTCCGCATAGTTGGCAAAATTCGTAGGGACTGGATGTGCGCGAACGACCTCGTTCCTGCTCGCTTCTCTCTGTTCTGGTACAACAGAGGGGTGTGTGTAACTCGGACCCAAATTCAAATCTCTCACCACAACGAGAGAGACTTGACCTCCAGGGACGTACTCTTGTTTTTGCGGGTCAAGATCCATCCAACATACAGCTGGCACAGATGCAGCGGTCTTGCCTAGTCCTGTGAGAGAGCGATTCACGAGCCGCCTGGCAAAAGTCGATTTGCCCGAGCTAGGTAACCCAGTCACAACGGTGGTAGAAGGATTGCTAGCGCAGTCCTCAATTGCGCGAAGCCAGTCTTCAGGTGTCACTTCAGGACGTAAGGGTCGGGAAAGCGTATCTGCATCTGAGTTGGTCACCTAGCAGAAAAGTCAGTTTTTTTGTATAGTCTCAACGAGTCATCATGTTATTATAGAACATGGTAATGGCCAAGGTGAGCTGTAAACGAGAAGCGATGCACTTACAACACGGAACGATCGATCATTGGAGTCATCCCAGATTCCGTCAAACACTGGACTAATATGCGCCAAAGATGCAGGTGTCTTGCAAGTCTTGAAACTTATGTGATTTGTACCATCTAGTCCGCGGATTTTGGACATAGGGTGCGTGGCTGGTACACACACTCGATGAGCTTGGTTTTTTTGGCCATCACGATTGACTGTCCCAATATTGGCACCATTGATGTTGACGGCACCCCTCAGAACCAACAAGTCAAAACAGCCGATCAACGTGATAGTCGCGTGCTTGTTCAGATTGACGGTGAGTTCAGTGTCGGTGTCTGAGAGGATGTTTTGTGGTTCGTTGCGCCAGTTGCAAAGTTTGAGATTGCGCTGAACAGGCACGGGTTGTTCCTCTTCATCTGAGTCTTCCTGTTCCGGGTTTCCATCTTTGAGCAATGGACTTGCTGGTACAGGAATCTGCTCAAGCGTGACTTTGGGTGTATTCACGACTTTAGCTGCGGCTTCCGTTCGCAGTCGAGCTGCCGCAATCGCAGTGAGCGGCTTTTCGCTGACGAATCCAGCTGCAGTCGCGTCTTCTCCTCTCTTCCGTTTTCCTGACATACTGACTTTGGATGTTGATGCTGGTGTTCTGCATCTGTCCAGTATCTCATCGACCAAGCCAGTGATTTTTGGCGCGCTAGCTTTTGATTAGGACTAGTGGCGATGCGGCTCTTCTCCGCCCGAGCGCGCCAGACCGCGGCGCAAAAAAGTTACGAACTTCGACTTTCTGGTCGCAAAGAGCATGGCTCCACACACACCATGAAGGACACACACAAAACCAAGGTGCCGCTGCCGGGCTCCAAGCAGAAGTCAAAACCTCAGAACACCCCATCGAAAGCGCAATTAAGCCAAGAATTTGTCGACAGTGACAATGATTCTCCCAATGAGAGCACCACGCAGCCCAAGAAGGTCGAGAAGCCGAAAGCCACCATCGGTATCCATGTGAATGGCGTTCCTAAAACCAAGTCCAAACCTAGCAAGAAAGACGCGCCTGCCTCCAAATCCACATCCAAGTCGAAAGTTTCACCCAAGAAACCAGCATCCAAGCATATCGCAACAGAAGAGGACGTCGCAGAATTGTCGAGCTCAGAGACAAGCGACGACGACGCGCCGACCAGAGATATACAGACGAAGCTTCCGGGTAACGAGAAGAGCAAGGATGCTTCGAGCGACAGCGACAGCGACAGCACAAGCAGCTCAGACACCTCCAGTGACGACTCAGACACTGACAACGCGCCGCAACCAACACGCAAACCAGCTCAAACACGTCCATCACTTCCAGTGCAATCACAATCACATGCAGTCGACTTTCGACCGACGCAGGCCTACGTACCCCCGAAAGGATTCAATCCAGTGGCATTGAATGACAAGACCATTTCCAAGTCGACAGGACTGTTTGATAACCTAGAAGGGAAGCAGGTATGGCACATTACTGCTCCAGCAGGTGTCTCCTTGAAGGATCTCAGCGAGATTGCCATGGACAAAGCTATGAAAGGAGATGCGATATTAAGTCACAAGGGCACCGACTATGGATTTTCTCAGACAGAAAAGAGCGAAGATGGCACTCGGGAGGTTTTATTGCCTCGCAAGAACGGCATGGAGCCTGGTACGTTCACCAAATACTGCTTATACTGACTGTACTGACCTGGCTAGTCTCTACGCGGATATCACAGACGTTGCGCTTGCGATCGGTCGTGCGACTTCCTCACCTCAGCACAAAACAAGCAGACCAGAACACAGGTTCAGAAGCGGCCGCTTCGATAACGCGATCGACTATCCGTGCACCACGACCACAGGTTACAGGACTGAAGATGCGCTTCCTTCCCACTGGCTTTAGTGGCAATGACGCCGGGATTATTGGTGATTCAGATGACGAGACTGAAGCGCCACGGGAGACTGCGGGACTTGGGATGCCGAATGGACTCAATCTACCCTCGAAGAAGCCAAAGAGGAAACATGCTGATGTCAATGGTGTCGATACGCCTGAAGTGCCATCAAAGAAGACCAAGAAGCACCGGGACCCAGAGGAGACCAAGAGAAAAGAGGAAAAGAAAGCGAAGAAGGATAAAAAGCGGGCGAAGGAAGCGGCAATGGCTTGAGAAATGCTGCATGACTACTTGAACTAGCATGACATCTACGCACACAGAATCTTCATACCAGAAAGCGCATGCGGCCAGAGACCAATATCTGTGCTGCTCCGCTGGACCGGTTCAGATACTTCACATCACATACGTACACATGTATCGGAACGTTATCAGCAACAACGCCGACACGTTAAAAGGCCATAAGCGTTTAGCAGGAGTTAATACGAGCATTGGTTTATGGAGGCATAGTACTTGCTAAGACTATCCAGTAGCACCAGGCCATGCCACAATCAAGATGTACATTTATCACCTTTCCCTCTGTATTCGCAGTTTGGACTATGTAGATGGTCTGTGTGTTTACGATCAACTGCGCACATGGAAGCACTTAATCATCAACGTAGACACTACAGACAAATGAGGAAACCGCGCAGTATAAACACGAAGGTACCTAGTATCACATCAAACACACATCTGGGTACGGCATGCCCACATAGTCCGGCAGCCGATCCGGTTGGTCTAGGAACGGACCGGCAGAATGGTAGGGCAACATGCCGGATTCATACTAGCGCAAACAACGCGCGCTCTGTTGTCACTCACAGGCGAGTGCAGGGAATCACCGCACTTGTCGTCAACTTTCACTCCACCGTAGCCTCGGCAGTTGCACTATGCTGGTGAGCAGGCCTCGAAAATACTCCATACCACGCGACTTCCCCCCTCATTGTGCGCGCACCGGCCCCCATGGCGACAGACACCGCTCCTGCTTCGAGTGCTGAGGCCTCGCAAACAGACGAACTCGACTCCACACCCTCCACCCCCACGCTGGCACCCACACACGAAAACTACATGGCGCACGATATCTCGGAGGCCGACGATGTCAGGGCTTTTGATCAGCCCGACGCTGACCTGCCGCCCTTACCAACCGAGGAAGACGACAGCATCATACATCATGTTATCGAGGAGGAAGACGCGCATAATGACGAGAGTGTCTTTGAGGATCGCGAGATGAAGCGCCAATTGATGGACATCGAATCGAGCTTTATCCCAGAGGCGCCTATCCAGGTCGAAGCACCTCAAGGACAGTCCGGCGTAGACGATACCTACTTATTCGGGGGCTCACCAGGAAATTCTCAACAATCAGCTCGACCTCTGCGTGACGACGCAGATATGCAGCGAGTAATGAACAACCTAGAAGAATTGCTAAAGCCAAAGAAGAAGCCCAAGAAGCTTGAAGTACGCAGTGGAAACACACCGACCAAGTCGCAATCCAGGAATACTCTTCATAGCAACTCTTCATCCTTTTCTGAGGCTCCCACGCCCGCGGATGCCTACAAGACACCTGCCGCGAGACGCTTGGACTTTGGGGCCGACGACTCGATGGATACGAGCACCGCAACATCAGAGGTTGGTCCTTCCTCGCCCGCCGCGGAAGCCGCGCAACGAAGTCAATCGCGCGCTTCAGCAAGCCAGACCACGGAACAATCGGAGGGGGAGGAAGAGGACAGCTCGCGTCGAGAGGAACAGGCTGCTCCAGGCGCCCAGCAGAAAGAAGTGGACGTGCGACGGCCCACATCCAGTGCCTCGACAGTAAAAGCTCCCGACTTCTCTCTAGTTGAAGAGGGCTCCTCCCTTACGAATGAGAACGAATCCAGCGTAGATAGCATAGCTATGCCTCCACCACCAGTTCCTGCGACCGCGCAAAAGATCAGTAAGCGACCGAGCTACCTGCAGCATCGCCATTCGAGCCAACGATCATCCGTGTCTTCATTCACTAACCGGTCTGATGCGTCTGGAGATGGCGGAAGCACAGCGAGTCTTGGTGCAGACTATGCCTTGCAAACTGGTGGCGCAATCCCTCGCTCAAGTGGACCACGAGGGATGAGCCTTGGGCTATCAAGATTGCCGAGCTTAGGTAGCATAGCCTCGTCAATGTCGGGATACAGCGATACCAACCCCTGGGAGAAGGGCCGGAGTATCAGTACTAACTCTCTCTCTGCTTTTCTCCAGCCGGATAATAGTCTGGGTCGTTTAGATGAGGAAGTCCCTAATAGCGCAACTCCACCCGAGACACCTCGCGCTCCCAGCGTGCAGCCTGCTGCCCCCACAGACACCGTTATCGCCAGGCATGTTCAAGACATACAGGTACCGGATTCTATTGCACGCGATTTCCGGGCTAAGCACTCGCGGTCGCCAGACAAACGGCACATAGCCACTCCCTTCACTCGGAGCAAACACAACCTTACACTGAAGGAACAGAACAGCAAGATTGATAAGCTCAGCAAAGAAAACTTTGATCTCAAACTCAAGATTCATTTCCTCGACCAAGCGCTTCAGAATCGATCTGACGAGGGAGTCAAGGAGATGATCTCAAAGAACGTCCAACTGCAAACCGATCTTGCGACAGAGAAGAAGGAAAGTCAGTCAATGCGCAAGAAGATTCGTGATCTAGAGCGAAGACTCAAGGCTCAGGAGGAAGGTAACACTAGTTCCAGGGATCTTGGCAGCGGCTCGGAGGACGGGAGAAGTGTTCAGTCGTCTAGGCAAGCTGAGTTAGAAGAGGAAATCGAGTTTCTACGAGAGCGCCTAGAATCTACAGAGATCACTGTGGACCAGTGGCAGCAGGAGGCACTTCAGAAAGAAGCAGACAACCGACGCATGGCTGATTACATCAAGACAATGCGAGAGAAGAGCTCTGGTGAAGACTCCGCTGGTTTTGACGAGGCCATCAACATGTGGAAAGAGGATTTCGAGGAGGAACGCGCAAGGCGTGAGCAAGTCGAGAGTCGCTGTCAGCAAGCAGAGACTGAAAGCGAAAGACTTCGAGAAGAGGTCGAACGCTTGAAAGAGCAGAACCAACAGATGCATCACTCGACGACGAACCATCACTTCAACAAAACTTTGAACAACTCACGGCGCATCCAGCAATCTTTTGCTGCTCGTTCAAACTCTGGCTCTGATGGCAACGAGAATACTGCGCCAATCTCTCTTGGCGGCACAAGCAGCACCTTGGTGGAACACCTACAGAGCGACAATGAGAAATTGCAACGAGACCTTCACGCACAAGCCTCTATGCTCACATCAAGGAATCGAGAAAATCTCCGTCTTAGGGAAGAGAACGAAGGCTTGAAACTCACAATTCGAAGAGGAGATGCAGGATCGACGGCCGGCGATAGTATTCTGGAGCGCTCCATCTCCCGCAACCACATGAGGTCTGTTTCAAGAGCAAGCGGCGGGACGCGTTTGACCCAGCAAAGCGATCCTGATCGAGAGGACTTCGAAAGCAAACATGCTGCTCTTCGAGATGAGCTATCTCAGCTCAAGCTTTCCTACAAAGAGCTTGACGACCAGCTTAACGGTCATCTCGACATGCTTGAGACTACTGAGAACAAGGTCAAGGAGCTAGAGCGGGAGATCGAAGCACAGACAGAAGATCTCCAAGCACTAGCAAGTGAGCGCGACGAGGCACTCGAGCTGCTACAAGATAAAGAGCAGGAATGTGAGGAGCTAAGGCAGGAAGCGCTGGATACAGTTCAAAGGCTAGAGATTGATCTTGAACAGAAGCAAGCGGAACGTGATCGTCTTTACAATGATCTCGAAAACACCACTGAAGACTTCCACGCCCTACAGCAAGAAATGAAGAATGTCAGCGAGAGCCTTTTACAGCTCGAGGACGACCGGGACGCAAGCCTACGCAAGATTCAGAACCTTGAAGCTGAGCTCGGAGACGCAAATGAAGAGTTGAACAGGCAAGACAAGCTTCTTAGTGAGGAGAGGTCGAAGAATGAGCGATTGGACGTTCAACTTGAGTCTTGTCAGGGTGAGATTGACTTCCTGAGAGAAGAGCAAGAAGGCGACAAGATCAAGATTGGCGAGTTAGAGTCAGCCCTGAACCACACTCAAGTCACGTTGCAGGAGGCGAGAGAACGTTCCCGAGATCTCGAGGAGCGCATGGCTGAGGAAAGGCAACAACGCGATGTTTTGGAGACTCAAGAGAAGCAAGAGGTGGAGAAGATCATCACCGACCTGAACGGTCAATTGACAAAGCTCAAGGAGGACAGCAGGAAGCTACGAAAGAACCTGTCAAGCAAAGAAGTTGAGGCATCCACCTGGAAGCAGCGCCATGACGAACTGGAGCACACTCTTCGTGAGTCCCTGGGAAACCTCAACGGTACGAGGTCAAGCCTCTTCAAGGTAAGCGAAACTGACAATAGCGGCTGGACATACACTAACCCTAAATTTCCAGGACATTGCAAAGCTTCAACGAGACCTCCAAGCGACTATGCAAGAGCTCGAAGTTGTCAAAGCCGATCTTGCAGAAAAGGACCGTTTGTTGCGTGCCCGCGACACCCTCCTGGAGAGCGCCGGTTTGGAAAGCCGCCGTCTTTCAGAGATGCTCGAACGTGAACGCCAAGCCCGCCGACAAGACCAAACCACATTCGAGAACGCCAAACGCGGTCACCAATCCACTGCCAGGGCGATTCAGCAACACGAATCAAGAGTCCTGGAACTGGAGACTCTTCGTAGCCAGGATCGCCAGAAACTTCACAGTCTAGAGAAACAATACAAAGAGCAGCTGCTCGAGCGAAACAATCTGCTATACGCCCTGTGGAACCGACTATCCACCCTTTGTGGTGCAGAGTGGTCCCGCAACAACGCTCTCATCAACGGAGAACTTACTTCGATGGAGCTCATTTCTAGGAACGTTCAAGGCTTCAACAAGAACATCATTCTTGCGGTCAGGACTGTGGAGAGTGTCATTGGTGCTTTCAAGCAAAGAATTCGCAATATAGAGAACAACCTCGTCCGCGACTACCAGACTCTTGAGCATAGCCTAGATGCACGCTCCAAGCGACTTGACCAGCTTGAGAAGCTTGTCATGGCTCAACGACAGTCGATTGGAAGACCTAGCACTGTTCGTGGAGGTATTGTTGATCTTAACACCGCAGAATTAAACAAACTGCGTACTGAAAACAAAACATTACGATCCGAGGTCCAAACCCTCCGCGCCATCACGACCACGACGCAGTCTGGCAACGATGTTATTGTTAGCCGCTCGCCATCACGTGCTGCGTCGCCAGTCTCTTCCAAGCGTGCCAGTATGGCGCAAACGCTGTTGCGGGCTCACTCCGCTTCTGTAGTCGAGAATTATTCTACTTCATCGACGCCTACGCCAGGCCACCCTTATCCTGCCGCTGGGCCGCTTCAACCAAGTGAGCAGAAGTGGATACATCGACTCAAGGAACTTGAACGGCGGTTGAAGGCTGAGCGTGAAGCGCGACTCCTTGATCGAAGCGGCGCCCGGAAGAGGCTAGAGCAAAAAGTGGAAGAAAATGCAGACTTGAGGGCTGCGCTCGAAAAAGAGCGGGATCGAAGGGATGAAGATGATGCCGAAACTATCCAAAGAAGTGCGTCTGCGGGCGGCAGTCGCATCGGCGGCAGTGGACGTGCCAGTGTGGTTGGCAGTGTGAGACACACTAATGGCAGTGGCAAGGAGAGGGGAGAGGATATGTATTAGTACGTTTCCTGTGTTGAGTGTTTCTGTTCTTGTATCAACCGTTTTTCTTCCTGATAGACGTTTCAGAGATCCGCGTTCGTCTCTTCGTCTATCTTTTCTTACGAAATAATGTGTAACGAGCTTGCTTGGTTGGCGCATGTAGGCACTGTGGGTACATTTCTGGAGGATCAGCATTGCATACCAACTATTAGAGGAGTGGGCGTACAGCATGTTTTTAATCAATGGTATTTCTTTGCAATTCCTGATCGATAGTGGATTTTTACGAGTACCCCTTATAACAATTGAGATCTTCGACTTCACAGGCTTGATGCGATACGCCAACATAGCTCCACGTATGGGGAACAGGTTCGTTCAATAGCAGAGGATAGGGCTTTACCTCAAATATACAATCGACCATATCTCACTGTCCTTTGATATCACGAAGCATCGCTACGGCATGTGGCACACATGACAGACATTCTACTTACCGTTCACGACTCTCTCACCGCCCCGCTACCCAACACCTGAACTACATTGTAAGGCAGCACCCACATATGCTTATGTTGGCAACGCTCCAGCTACTACTAGTATGTCTTCAACCACTTGAGCTGTTCTCTCACCTCCACCATTGTTGCGTACGATACATGCGATGTTGAGACGATCTTTACAAGATTGTAACCATGGCCATGAATGTTACTTACGCTCACGAGACCGCTCGGCAGCGCTTATCTACAAGCCGTACCAGTCGCCGATCTCTAGCTTCACCTTACCCATCCCCAACACCACAGCCAGCGAGACCTACCCAATCGCAGGACCCGCCTATCTGCGAAGTTTTCGCTACTCTGCTGTTCGATCGTCAGAGAGCCTACCAAAGTAGATTATGTGCTCCGCCCGCACCACTCCTAGCACCAGTTACTCGAGCAGAAATGACTGCTAAGCAAACACCAACTAAGAACGCTAGAAAGGCCACTACAGACACACTAAAGAAGCGCGCTGTGCCTGTACGCCCAACACGAGCAACAGCAAAACGTCAGAAGACCGAACCAAACAGCAAGCAGAAGCTTGTTTATGAGGGGAACATGGGCAACGGCATAACAACTGCATCAATAACGAAGCCCAACAAAGACACAGAGATTATAACAATATCCGATAGCGAAGATGACAAGCTCCTTCCTGTGCGAAAGGGCAGGTTTAGTGCGCCGAAGATAAACATCCATGAAGATGAGGATGATGTTAAGCCTAGTATTGCCTCTTTCACACCGAACCCGGAATCCAACGATAAGCAAGAAAACGAGCAGCTGCGCAAAGAGCTCGATGCTGCTAGATTGGAGCTCGATAAGACAAAGAAACTTCACGAAAAAGACAAAGACGACAGTGAGTTAATACGGGTTCAATCTAGCAACGCTACAAAACAGGCCACAGAGAGACTACAAGAAGAACTCGAAACTGAAAGAAGTAATTCGAGGGCTGTTACAAGGGATAGGGATCAGCAGCGCATCGAAATCGACAACATTAGGGCAAGGAACGATCAGCTAGCAACAGAGTTGCAAGAAGAGAGACGTTTGAGAGAGGCAGAGAGACGGGAGCACGAAAATATAATGGAAGATGTCATGAAGGCTAAGGAATCAACCTCGGATGCGGCAAAAGACCTCCTCATCACTGAAAACGGACGACTTAGAACGGAAAACGAGACCCTTCGAGCCGCCGCCACTGGACCACCGCCTATGCTACAACCCGCGTTCCCATCTGCTCCGCCCTCCATATTTACACCCCCATCATCCCAACTATCACAATCATCGTCATACCCCTCCATCTTCACCTCACAAGCAGTGTCTCCTGCCCCTTCATCCCCAACCCCGTTCGCGCCAGCCGTTCCTACCCAGGAACGCAAAGAAGAGAATGTCCGAAAAGTCTACCTTAGGGTCAAGAACCAGTTCGATAATCTTCAATTGGCAGCTAGCAATCTGATAAAATGCACCCGAGGGATGGAGTTGAGCAATTTCGGGCAATTTGGAAAGTATCTGCGGCAGTTGAAAACGGTCCTGGAGGAGGATGCGAAGTGAGTTGAGCGGATGATAGAGATATGGGAGAATGACTAGGACGAAAGTGTGGGCGCTCTCATAGTCGATGGAGACATTTCTATTGGGTGCTTTGAATACGGAGGCTTTGCTGCGCAGCGTCAAGCATGTTTGTTTTCCGGGACAGGAAAAGTCAACTGCTTGGGTGCATATGGGATCAGTGCCTTACGTACACATCTCCTCATCACATGCTCATTAAAGTGAGTCATGGCATAAAAGCAAGATGGCGTGTTCAATCTAGGAGCTTGAATAGACGCATTTGCATCCCCATAATGAGTAATGCCAACATCCAACTGAAGCAGTTGTGTGATGGGAGCTCAAAAGCCATAATGGACAGTGACGTTGACGTTATCGACGATACACCGCCATCCTGGGTACTATTCAAGAAGTTAGCTGTAATGTCAAAACCATATTCGTGGTCTTGACCGTACCTTGGCCCTCGCCCACACCAACACCCGATCTCCCTGTCTCAACGCATTCAAGAAGCCTTCTCCACTACCTGCGCCTTCATTCCCCTCGTTCACTTCACTCAAGCCATGCTCTTCCCAAGCAACATGGTACTCCTGCCCCGAAGCCATGACGCGATTGCCCTGCAAATACCACGCATAGTCCCCCTCACCTCCCTGCGGTCCCTGCAACGCGCTCTCTGGCCTCTTGACGAGCGACCAGCCACGACCAACCATATTAGTATGGTAATCCATTGGGCTGCTCAGCCAAGTATTGACCAACCGCGGAGTAGGAAGTCGACTGTTGATGTTGGAAGCATCTCGCAGGATAGATACTTCAAGCCATGAAGACGTCGAGAAAGTGCCTTGTGTGTCTTCGCTTGTCCATCCTTGGTCTCTGCTCATCACATCAAAGGTAATGCGCTTGATCTTTACTGTTTCGCCACCAAGATGTATCCTTTCTACGACAGATGCAGAGAAGATTTCGGCTTCGAGACACAATGCTGCTGCGGATGAGCTGTTGGCGCTAGCGCTGGCGTTGGCATGGACTTCGCGCCCATTCTGAGAGAATTCAGCAATAGGCCAATATTGTGCATGCTCCAGGATGCTGAGTACTAGCTCAGTGGGCAGTTTGAGTGTCTTGAGGAGGGCGCGGGCGTGACAGACGTCAGCGTAGGTTGGTGTGAAAGGGCCAGTTGGCTCAGTTGTGCCGGACAGCCAGTCCACGCTCGGGAGTAGTTGCCGAATGCTGCTTAAAAAACTCATCGCTTTGAAGAATCGACAACTGTCAGTTTCAGTGTGGTCATGAGAAGGTGATGAAATGTCCAGAAGTGTGAACCTGCGCACGGTTGGGGGAGTCGCATTGCGCTAGCAGGGGTCGCCGATGAAGGGCAAGAAGTGGCGAGATGGTATCGGTTTAGTCTGCCTTGGTATCCTGTCAAGAACAGTACTTTCCACACTTTAGAGTGTGCACCACAGGAATTCCAAGCATGGAAATGGAACATCATACTTTATGCACCTGTCACTTGCGAAGAGACTTTCAAGAATCCATTTTTGCAATCGCTCGAGTTAGCTCGAACAGCATCTGTTTTTCGCCTCAAACCTCCGTCGTCGATCGTACAGCTGTAAACCAGCATGAAACATTGTGGTAGCTACCAGATATTGGCGCCTCAAAACCCAAACTTGCTCTTCATAGCGCCCATGACGAGCCCTCTCTTCTGCTTTCCAACAAACTTGTTGACATCGTTTGCCCAACCTGCACTGTTCTGCGAAAGATTATCCATGCTATCTCCAACAATGTTGAGTTTCTCCGTGCGTTCATTGAGCTGGCGACTCGCCCAGGCACCCCAGCCTTCTTGAGTTGGGGTCCCCGGTTGAGTGGGGTAGGATTGGTACCCTGCGGCAGAAGAACTGGCAGCGGACGGGTTGGCGCGACGGCGTTCTTGCTCAGCCTCTGCGCGTTGTTGCGCCATCTGACGATTCGACAAAGGTCGATCAGGACCACCGACTAAGGCATGTTAGTCGATACTTGAGAGTGACTGGCGAGATGACTTACTGAGTAGATCCATGTCAGCTGGTGTGACGTACTGTGTGCCGGAGATCCATTGGATATTGCTGATAGTCGGTCGTGGCGGGATCAACAGCTCTGGGTTGAGCAGGACGTCTTTAGCGCGTTCACTAGAAGATATCAGTATAAGTATCGCTAGTTAAGAGAGGACTCGACTCACTATTGGAGTCCGGTTCCGAAAACGTTAACTAGAGCCATCTCTGCGGGACCTTTCCAACCGAAGATGTCACCAGTACTTGTGATGACTGCCTCGGAGAAGCGCCGTACGTCTAGCAGCTCACTGAGATTGATGGACACGATCTCCTTCAATGCAGGTAGTGAATAAGCTCTCGCACACCCATCACCATACAAGCCAAGCAGCGCATATCCTTTGTCCTCGTATCTAACCACAGTCGCCGCATCGCACAGGAACTGGTCAAAGGTTTTGTGCGCTCCCTTACTGGTGGCAGGGCGGAACAACCTCGCTCCCGATGCTGTTGTGGTTAGAAGCACACCGCCAATCTTGGAACCATTCCGAAGTCCAGCAACGGCAGACTGCGAAGCATAAGCTGGTCGACCAGTTTCGGCATGCATGGGACAAATGCTGATGACTTTGTCGTCTAATGAGCACACGCCCACAGACTTCACTGAGTATCGGCCACTTGATTCTGGCAGTAGCTTGAAGGTTGCAAGGTGACCAAGGTTGGTGCCCACATGAAGCAAAATGCTGGAGTAGTCTTCATCTTCGAGCGTCATTACACTGAACTCAATAGAGGTCGGCCACTCTGCTTTAGGAGTCGCCTGAGTCGAACTCCGTCGAAAGCTGGCGCGCTTGTCTGGTTTGATGAATTCTTGTATCGATGCTCTGTAGATGATTGCCGGTCCTCGCAAATCGATGATGGCCAGACTGCCGCCTTCAAAGCCCGCAGCAACGAAGCCAACGTCAGAATGTTTCAAGGCGGTGACTGGTCCGTTGCCCTCGTCAAGCAAGGTAAAGGGCAAAAGTCCCTCTTTGAGAGCCGCTTCACTCCTTTCTGAGATATCTGTGAGCGCTTGAGCTTTGTTTTCACCTGGTGGGTATTCCTGCCCAGCATGCTTGTTGACACCCCATCGGAACACAACTACTTCACCACTCTTCAGTCCTACAGACAATTCAGATGCCGCACCTGCGAATGAGGTGTGTGTGACGTTGACATGCTCTGGTCGGCCGACTGCTCGAGCAACGTCTACCTGTAGCAAGGCAGCGTTCTCAATCTCATCGGCATGGCCTGCATCCCACAATCTAATTGTGCCGTCTGCATGAGCTGTCTGTACTATGTTGCGGTGTTCGAATCGCTTGAGAGGATGTACAGCCTCGGCACCACCGATTAGAAACTGTGGACCGTGTTGCCGCTTCTCGGTCATGCCGAGCCATCGTGTGCGGTCTACCGGTGCCAGGTTCGCGTAGTTGATGTACGGATGTACAAGTGTCATGGAGAGATGCAGCTGGTTAGTGGGTGTGATGGGCATTCCGCTTGGGAACGATAAGGTGATCAACTCTCCAGAAGCAAGTAAAGCGATAATCGCAATTGGATCGTGACAGCCAGCATAGTGAGGGGAGGTCCGTGGAATGAGAAATAGATCGACCACTTCAGTTCCGGGTGGGCATGGAAGTATTCTTTGCCTTTTAGGGTTCTCGAAGTGATCCGACAGTACTTGCCAGGACGCGGTAGCATAAACAGGTGTCCGGCCCAACTCGAATAAAGTCAGACTTTTGGCTGAGATGTTGGATGGCTGTCCACCGGCGACAAGTATAGCGGTATCATCTGGATCCTGATTTGCACACCAAGCGATCTTGAAGATGGGTGACTTGAGCGCATATGACCCGTCGACAGCACCTGGACTGAAGCTCCCTTGGCCTGGCTTGTCCACGTTTGTGTCGGTCAATGTCCTCGCCTGCACAATGCGGCCGTCCTTGGAGTCCCAAATAACAACACTGCTGTCTTCATGCCCGGTCAGAACAAAGGTGCCAGTGGGATGCCAGACAGCCTGTGTCAAGGGAGGTTCGCGGTCCATATGGATGGAGGCGGGATCGGAATCGCCTCCAGGAGCTCCCTTAGGAACCAGGTAGTGGAAGAAATGCAAGGCCTTGTTCTGCTTGAACGAGTAGATGACGGCGCCAGAGTTGTATCCAATCAGGAGGGAGCCGATGTCTCGCGGGTGGAGCGATAGTGTGACGACGGAGACGAGGCGTGCACGAGGAAACTTCTCTCTCCACAAATTGGGTATCTTGAAGGGCGTAAGAGCCTCCCTGGCCAGATCATAGGCGTACACATCGCCCTGCTGTGTGCCCAGAAGCGCATAGTCGATGGTCGGGTCGCAGTGGAGGGCCGTGATTTTGGCGGGCGGAGAATGGGCGTTGAGCAGCTTCTTGGTCTCGAGCGAGAAGACGGACAAGTCGTTCTTGGAGTCTACACACAGCAACTTCTCGGCGCAGAACTGCAGGATTTTGACTGAGGCGCTGCGCGTGGGCAGCGACAACACAACCTCGACTCTCTTCTGGCCAAAGACGTAGATTTGGCCAGGGCCAAACTTGCTCTCACTGGTGCCGACGGCTATGAGAGACTGGACAGGGTCGTATGCGACCTGGGTGACTTTGGAGTTGATGCCATAGTTGCGGATCTTCACGTGCTGTTAGCTCTTGCGCCTGTAGGGCTGTTGGCGAGGGCGGGAACGGCGGGGTGAGGGCAGCGAGCGCGTACATGGTCGAGCACAAACAGATCAGGACTTAGGCCTTGGGAAAGGTCGTTGCTGACACCGGCCTGCTTTCCGCGCAAGAGGTGAGCCATGGCGGTGTGTGTATTTCATACCTCTGCTCCCAAAGCCAGCGATGAGGATTGCGATCTGCGACTGACTGACGGACCGCCCAGCTGCTTCGCCGGCAAGAACGCGTTGCGCGACGTCATTTCGGCAACTTTAAGCGGAATGCAGGGTCCACGCCACGTCACAGCCACAGCTAGCAGTCATGTCATGGGTGATGCTCGTAGCAGTCTGGTCAAATGAGATTAACGTCGGTCACAATAAATATGCTACTTTAGTCAATACAAGGCGCCTGTTCGAGCCCTGACACCGCGTCATTATCGCCAAGTACACTGACTACACCAACTAAACCACACGCTGGCAATGATAATCCCCCCCGCTTGTTGCTAGAGTTTCCGAAACGCCACAAGTTGATCTATGGTATCCAGAACACCATGTGAATTCACACTTACTCATCAAAACACTTTACGTGGACATGGACGCCCCATTAGCGCCATACATGGAGCCGTTGGGAGGTTGCGGCGTCCCTGACCCTTGCCTACTACTACTGAAACTGTTCTGTGCTGCAAGCCGGGCCTGTGCTTGCTGGGCTTGTTGCCTCTCAAGCATCATTTGCTGCGGATTGCTGGCTACGCCATTATAGGGGCCAGCGGCAGCAGGCGTCTGCGGAGCACCGTATTGCGATGGACCGTAGTAGGTGCTGCGCATTTGCCCTCCAGACACCGGCGTGCCGTATGTTGGCCGTGTACCATAAGCTGATGGCGTAGGTGGTGCGCCCTTCATAGGCGAAACATTACGTGGCGGCGGTGCTTGTGAGCCATTGTACAGAGGTGCCGCATTTTGTGACCGAGGATAGAAGTTGCCCTGATTCTGCTGTGCGGCATATCGATTTTGACCCTGTGCTGGTGTCGAGTTGTAGTACTGCGAGCCCGTGGCGCCACTGTAGCCACTTGGCTGTGCAGAGCGTTGCGGAAAGTACTGCCCAGAAGGTGTGGTTCCATAACTTGGTCGCGGCGTCTGTTGGCTGTACGATGGGGTTGCCGAATACCCTGATCGAGCATTCGGGGCATATGGCGCACCACCTGGTTGGAATGTTTGCGCGGCACCCGACGGCGAGCGTTGTAGATGCATTGAGGATGATCGATGGAGAGACTGCGGTTGCGTATACACTGGACGAGCGCCGGACTGAGGCACTGACTGTCCTGGACGGCTGTACTGATGGCTAGCCGCGGGATAATGCGCATTGGTTCCAGAGCCTGTTCGAGCCAAAGTAGCTGGCGTTGCAGTAGTCATTCCTGGTGTCTTTGCCAGTTTAGACAGTTGGTCCTCCTCCAAAACCCCCTTGTACTCTTTGGCATCGAACAGAATGGTTCGACTGATGTTGAGTTCGTCCATCTGGTCTCCGTTGAGTTTGGCGACAGCATACGGCGGAAGCTGTGAGATCAACAGGGTAAGCTGGGACTTGAGAATCTGATACACATCAAACTCTTCAGACGAAGGTGTTGATGGGCTGCCGGCCAAAGTCGCAAGGGAGGCGTTCTGCACGACAGGTGTGCGTGGGTTGGTTGTAAGGGAGAGGTTTCGTATCCTTTGATAAGATGCAAGTGTCTCCAAGAGTTCGGAAATTTCCTTGAGCACCTCGTCTGTGTCTTTCTCCTCTTCAGTCTTCTCCTCCATACCAGGCAATTCATCTCCTTCGATTGGCGTGAAATTCTCCACAGCCTCCTTGAACAGTTCGTCCTCATCGGTTGTTCCGTTTGCAAGGGCCCGCTTAGCCTCCTCAGGATCGAGCAGAGCAGGATCGATTGGGAACATGTCGTTGAAGCGCTTCTCACCAACCCTCTGCCACCATACCATGTTCTTGGTCTCTTCCGGGATAATGGCGGAGCTGTCATCTCGCGTCGGAGCAAAGCTCGAGTAGGCACTGCGGAACAAGGCGTCTTCTTTGGCCTGTTGGACTGCAACCAGGATTGCCTCAGACGGTGGCTGTTGCGCTTCACCCATGCTCAATGCCCGCTGTCTGCTCTTTTGCTTTGCCGTTGGTGAGGTCTGGTCCTTGGGCATATCCACCCCGCCATACCCAAGCCAAAAGCCCGAAGATAGATTTTGGTGCGCGTACGATTGCGACCCCTTGCGACGGGGTTTGGGCGCTTCTTGGTGCGCGAAGGTGATGGTACTGTTGCCTTTGCTCGTTGTCGGTCGAGCAGACTTGGGAGGGCTGATCTGTGGCAGGTGGGGAGGTGCGCGAAAGACCTCTCCAATGGTCGCAATCTTCTTTTTGTTGTCCGGATTGGGGAGAGGATATACTTCGGTGGTCGAGATAAGGTTGGGCAGATTCGTCTCGCGAAGAGGTAGAGTCACCTTGACGGCGGTATCGAGTGTAGATATTCCATCGGTGGGTGGTATCTTCTGGGGCTGCTGCAAGCTAGAGAAGAGCTGCTTCGGCGGTGCGCTTCCGTACAGCGTAAGAACGGTCCTACTCTGAGGCACCTCGGCATCCTGCTCTTCCTCCTTGATTGGCACAGGGGTACCATCCTCTGTCGAGACGTGGGCATCCGCGTCGCCGTTGACGCCCTCTGCTGGGCCATGTGCCTTGCGCGCATCTTCCCTGGCAACCAAGTTCTTCAGTATGGTTTGGAAAGCAAGCACTTTGCCCTGAAGCGCAGTATCCTCGGGTGATATTGGCGCAGTTGACGAGTCGCTTGGGCCGTTGGCTGCCAGGATTTCGGCGGCAGCACTCTCGACATCCTTCTCTAATGCGTGCAAAGATTGGTATGAGCCGTCTTGAATCAAGTTGGTGATGGTCGCAGGGCCGCTCGGTGGGGTCAGCTTGGTGCGCTTCGAGTCGGCTTCTCCGGAGGCAGATCGCGTTATCGACGAGGTGATGGGGTGTGACAGAATCGAGGGCTTTGTATCGTAGCTATTCAGTGTCAACATGCGAACGCAGACGGTTCCTCGAGCCCAAAACGCGTAGGCGCGGAACAATGTTTGCATGTGTCATACCTCTTGAGGACTGCCAGTATGTCTCCTAGTACGGCCTGGAGAGAGCGTGTGTTGGCGGGTGCGCTCTCTCCCTGCGCAGGCGTGGATGCGCCGTTGGCAGCAGTCCCATGAGGCTCTCCGAGTTTGCGTTTTGCGGCAGAGGGCGAGTTGGGCGCGGGCGGCAGCGACGGCGGGGTGAGGGTGCCGTTGGCGGCGGCCATGGTGACTTTTGGGGGGCTGTTGGCGATGCGCGAGTGATGCCGTGGGATGCAACGCGCTCAGGGCGGCCGGAGTCGTTCTTAGTCTGTCTCCTTCACAGCATTCCCTCCCCGCGATATCGGAAGGCGCGATGGTGGAATTGGCAGAAGCGCGTAATCGGACCCAAGACTGCTCCTGTTGACGCGCAAATATTTCCCCAGAGGTTGGGTCGTGCTGTTGGAAGTTGTCCAAAGTTGACTTAGTCTGGTCGAAGTGCGTGCAGCGAGCGATGAATGGAACGCGAAGTGCCAAGACAGCCTTGGAACGCCGTATAGTACCACAAGAAACACCGCCTAGCGAGCTGCGACGATTGCCGTGCTTCCTCGACAGCTGTAATGACCTTGGTATCACAATTTGCTATTTCACAGGTATCCGCTCTTCACAGTCCTATTCGCTGTCTCTGGTAACCATGTTCAAGACGTGGTTTGCGACTGTAGCATAGCACGCTAGTGACGATGGAGCATAAACTACCCACGATTTTCTTACTGCCCTCGGCAAGCCATCGCAATTGCCCTTCCCACGCGTCTGTCCACGTTCGTTGCGTCAGATGAATGCCCCCAATACTCTCCCTGGCAGCTCCAGGTAACACGTACTGCTTCGGTCGTCGTGTGACGCGCCTAGTACCTTACTGGGTATGCTCGCTGCTGCTTCAAGGCTGATGTATACTGACTTACTTGCAAGTGTTTTTGTAGCCCTGTTACCCATCACCAAAAGCGAGATACATCCGTATTTTCGACATGCAGTCTCCAGGCTCCTTGGGTGCTTCTGCTCTCCCATCGCCCCACGACTCTCACCCCCCGCCACGGCATAGCCTTCCGTCGCCATGACGAGCCTCAACGGCCTCCAAGGCGCTACTCCGTACACACTTCCAAGGATGACACCTTCTCTAAGGTGGAGGAAACCGAAGGGCGTCCCACATTTCGACCGCAACTGTCCCGCGCCGTCAGGAAGGCCCTGCGCCCAACTAGGCCTGCAATAGTCCTTGCCTCCATAAACGGTCCAGCCAGAGACCTTTATGTTACCCCATCTGGTGGGACTGATCTGTCCTATACTGCGCCGCGACGTCCTTCGCGAAAACCCAAGCCGAAGACTGGATTTTGTCGCAGCACTCTTCTGCTTGATGAACCCGTCTCGCTCTATTCAATCCTTGCCCGGTTTCTCCAACATCACACAGCGACACCAGCAGCCAAGTCGGACTTTTACTATACTCCGCTGGAAATGGAGCTGCTACAAAACCAAGGCTACACCACGGAAAGCGTAGAGCGATGGGCTTCTTGTCTCGTGGCGCCGCGATCGATTGAAGCCGCAAGGGTTTTCGAACAGGGGGTTGAGATGCCGCCTCTGTTCTTACTCTTATTGTTCCTACGTCGAAAGCACATCAAGGCACCTGCCCTTGACACCATCATGAGGCACCTTGTTCATGTTGCGTATTCAGAGTCGATAAGCTGGTCCCAACTTAAAATCATTACGGTTCGTTTACTCCACCATGTGCGAGAACACCGGCCTGAGTCAATGTCATGGGTCGCCTCCTTTTTCGCCGCCGAAGCAAGCCGCCTACATGATAATACACCTGGAGCTGATCCTCTGCCACCAAATACACTTTCAGACTTGACTGAGTTTTGCAACAAACTCCTTAAGCTGATATCACTGCCGACACCTTCTCGACCTGTAGTGACCGCTGTCCACCAAGAAAAAGCCCAGTTCCAGATCCTTCAATACATGGCCAATAGGTCGCCTGCAGTAGCAGTAACGCGACTCGGCTTCCTATCCGTAGCGCTCAATCAGCTGGCTCATGCCAAGACACCACAAGAAAGAGAATGGGCTGAGCTTAAAGGGTCTGCCTGGCCTCCGTGGAAGGAGAATCGTACAGCAATGGATGAGGACAAAGGCTACGAGTTCGGTGCTTCCCGAGCTTCCCAGCTTCTGCACCGTATGCACGAAGCTGGATACAGCGGCGGGTTGTGGGAAGACATAGTGCAAGTCTATGCTGGTTGGGACAAAGACTCCAGTCCAACGATACAAACTCGGACGGTTTTACCTCTTTCCTCCTTTCAATACCGCAAGGCTAATGGACTTCGTGCTCTACTCTGGGCTGGCCGCATACGAGCGACACGCACGCGCAGGGAAGCCTGGGCATGCTTCCTCTCACAAGAGCTATCTGGAGGACGTGCTCATTCCGCAATATATCTCGCAATGTTCGAAAAGTTGCATTACGGTACAGCAGAAAGATTGACACACCCAGAGTTCTCATCTGACGCAGGTGGCACTCCAGAAGAAGGCCCCACCTACTTGTTACCCGGAGATATGAAAGAAGTCTTGCCAGACCCGCTCTCCACGTTACACCACGTTTACATCAGTGAGCCCGTTCCCGGGTATAGAGAGCTATTTCAACGGATGCAGACCACTCAGCTCAAGCCTGATAATCATCTCCTCGTCTTCCTAATAGAGACGTGTCCCGACTTCGATATGGGCCTAGAATTACTGGCCATGGCTAAGGATAGGGGCAATGGCATAATAGGCCGAATTCTTGATGGAACTCACGATCAAGATCTGCCATACCAGCCAATCTTAGGTTATTTTATCAAGGCGATTATCGTATTCTTATGTCGTTATGGACGTGTCGAACAGTCACTGCCCAAGGAAGTCCATTTTCTACGGCCGGAACAGCATGCCAATCAGCTCAGGTCGAACCGCAACTACCTGGTCGAATACGCGTACATGGTTCTTAGACATTATCGGCCGCTTTACCGACCAGCTTGGGCTGCTATGATAGAGAAGCTAGCATGGCACATCAACCAAAATGGGGAAATTGGAATTACTCAGTATAAACGTATTTGCGACATCCTTGAGCAGATGGAGCAGCTGCATCTCAATGTCGACGACGAAATCTTTCTCCAATTCTGTGTTGCGACTCGGTACACTGCTCAGACCGCCCAACAAGGCTTCGCGTCCATTGAGGATACGCGACATGTCCTTTCCACCAGTTCCCATCGCCTCCGAACGCTCTTTAATAGCTTGGTCGGTATTAATGCCGACGTGCAGTCACCTTCAAGTCACCAGACTGGTAGTAACGTCGTTCCGCTACATATTCCAGGACCTGCAGAACTACATGCTTACGTACGAGCACTAACTGCTCTCCGGGATTATGAAGGTCTCTATTCCTTCACCACCTGGCTCACCAAACACCATGTCGAAGTGACGGCGCGCGCAAAAGCTCAGCACTCAGGCAGAGACATTCTCTTCAAGATACTTGTGGCATTGCGATTAGCTATCGATGGTGGGGCTCTTGAGCCAGAAGCTGCCTACCTATCTGGCGCACCAGAAGACATAGCACTTCTCATCAAGACACAAATCGAGAGTGTTGAACAGTGGGGTGGTTGGCCTGAACGAGAATACGTTGATATGTATATCAATGGGCATTTAAAATCGGAACCACCTCTCGTTGGAGGACGCTAGACGGATGTATCATATGGGTGGGTTCCCTCTTTTGCTCGCGTTTGACACCCTTTTTTCGTGTAAATATATGAGTACAAGCAATAAAGCCATCTCAAACGACTGTTCTGAAAACTATTGGGTAGTTTTCCCTTCCATCCACGCTGTCACCTCTGCGAAATTCTCTAGCCACTCTAACTCCGCGTCGCCACGCGGAAGAACAGGTAATGCTACAGGTGCCCTTTTTGGAAATTCCGCTTGGTAAGGTTGAATTAGAACCTTGAAATTGAGCCCATGCAAGCTTAGGTGCTGCTGTTTCAGCGTCTCATACAGGCGTGTCACTGCCATCACCTCTCTTTCTGCATTGTCTCGCGCCCAAGATGGGGCATTCGCAACAACAGCACAACATTTGTCCACAATGTCCGCGGGCGCAACCTGTATATCTGTAGCGTCCGTAATATGCTCTTGGAACATCTCTACTTGACTTTCATACGGCACCAGGGCCGGCCATGCGAAGCGGACAACGCACCCCTCGGTATTTTTCCACCTCGTATTCTTCGCCTTCCTAACCAGCTTCCTCGCACAGCGACGTATATCAGTGGGAACATGTTGCGTGTTGAGGTTATCAGGTGCACGAACCCTAAGGTCAAACGGCTCCTTCAGACGAGTTGGATAGGTTTCGTAGATATCTGCCAAACGGTAGAGCTCGGCTGCCATCGTTTCTGCCCTGAGCAATCGGAATTGTTGGTACATGTCGATGAATGTTGCTAGATCGTCGACACTGAACGGCAGATCCTTCGAGAGGTATGCGTACCTATGGCAAACCGCGTCTTTTATACCTAGCTTGGGGACCTTGGAGAAGATGGCTTTGGCTTGCAGGGACAATCGTGGGAGCCATGGTTTGATGAAGCGTGCGTAGTGTTCGTGGAACGCAGACCACGTTCTGTCCATGACGATGGAGTTAAGTTCCGCGAGGAAAGTTCTTGCGAGTTGGTGTTCAGCAAACCTGGACCGGTTTTGAATATCTGCTGGTAACCATCCGCATGCAGTCGCCTTCCAGTCTTCATTGCGGAAAAACAGAAAAGCTAGGCTGCGTTCGAATATGTATGGTATTTCATCCTTGGTCTTGGGTTGGATGAAGCACAAACGCCTTACGCTGTCTGAGATGGAGAGCAGTTTTTGCCATGTGCTTCTGTCTTCAGCACGGAAGTGATCGCCCCAAGCTGAGATGCTGTTTTCGAGGGACCAAGTGAGACGGGGACCAGCGCATGAGGACAGGCGGATTAATTGCGAGAACTCAAGATCGTTCAGTATGTCTCCGTGGAGCTCACAAGGGAGCTTTTCGAGATCCTGCGCGATGCGCTGGAACCTTTTAGTTGCTAGCATAGGTTTTTTATTTTCCTTTGGTGCTTGATTGGTTTTGGTCTGGGGCAGGCACAGGACTAGACCGGAGGTTGTGAATCTTCCAAGTGTGTGGCTTGTTTGTTAAGGTGTGAATAGTTATGATTGAAAGGTACTTCTATTCGTTCTCTGTGTTATGAGAATACAACCATCTACGCTTGCCATTCGTCAAATGTTGCTGCCTGGCGTCCAAGGGTCGAGTCATGAAAAGGGCGCCGGTAGCGTCAGGTACGCCGCCCTTAACCAAGGTCCACTATCAGCAACTACCTCGAATCACCTTGTGAGCACCCAATTTTTGAGACACTCTTAGAACCGAAAGGAAGCTTGTGGTATACCTGATGCGCTATGGCAAAATCCAATTTCTTGCTATTCCCTCAAATGTGTCGGTCCGTCAGAATGTAACGCGAACTTTTTGACATACCTGCACTCGTGGCCTACCTGAATAGTTACACTGCTCCAGTGTCGAGGAAACAAGATACATCTCAACTTTCCGTATCAAGAGTACTGTCTGCTACCATGACACACTTCTCACCGTTATTAGCAGCGCATTGCGCAGCCACCGCTACACCACAAGAGATATCCAATTGGCTACGAGATGATGAAGCGCTCATCAGCGCTCAAGGGAATTGCAGCTGGCTAGCTTACTATCTACCGGAATACGAAACTGAAAGAGGGTTAGCTATTGCGACATGTCTTACACCGTCGCCCGCTTTGGGTCACGACATCAAAAAACTCATCTACAAAAATGTTCTGAGCAGGATCCGCCGGCATCTGAAGAGAGGTGGATCGAACACAACGCCGGACGGAACTATCCACGAAATTGGAATCGCCGAGCAGGCAATACCTCATTCGGAACTCTCGACTACCTTGAGAGTTATTGCGCATCTACAAGAGGCCGCTATAATCCAGCGAGACACCACAGCTAGCACTATCATGGCTTGGTTGGAGGAGCGAGTTGCTCTCAGTCGACACACCATCTCAGAGTCTGCTCCACACGAGGCGGAGATTCCAAGACCACCACCCACGCCACGCAAACGTTTGTGTTACATCTGTCGTATGGCTATGACCACTTCATACCCTCCTCAGCCAGCCATGTGCATACCCTGCGGTTCCTTCAACCACTCTTCTTCCATGCTTTCGACCCCATCAAAGCTGATCTTGCCACATACCTTCACCGCGCTCGTAACAGGAGCGAGAGTCAATCTTGGCTACCACACGGCATTGCGTCTTCTGCGTTGCGGTGCCCGAGTAATCGCTACAACACGGTATCCGCTTGATGCTATATCGCGGTATATCGAAGAGCCCGACTCGCATGTATGGAAGAATAGATTGAAAGTAATAGGTGCAGATTTCAGGTGTGCGAAGGACGCGCACGATTTGGTGCATGAAACGAAACAATGTCTGAAGCAATGGGCTCATGGAGGGGACGTGAGATTGTCCGCATTGATCAATAACGCAGCGCAGACACTTACAGACAGCGTGAAAAGAGAAGAACATGCCATAGAGCGAGAGAAAGCTTTGGGTAAACGTTTAGTACACCGGGAACTATTGATTGAAGGGAGTTACACAACCAGAGTGCGAGGACGAGAACTACCAATGAGACTGCTAAACGCTGGGTCGACTAGTGTGCCTCCAGAGAGCTCTCTGGAAGAACAAACAGGCGCTGTAGGCTCGGTAGACATACTCGATACGTCTTACAAAACAACCACACAAGTAGAGCCCTACACCAAGTCCTCCTGGGTGCAATCTATATCTGAGATACCATACGAAGACGTTGGTTCCGCTCTCTCAGTCAACACGTTCGTCCCATTCATCCTTTGCAGGGAACTCCTTCCTCTTATGGGCTGCAGCAGTATTGAAAAACCTACCAAGCCTCAAGGCTACATAATCAACGTCTCTTCCCGCGAAGGCATATTCGAGTCTCACACCTCTTCATCTGCAAAACGAGGCAAACACGTCCACACCAACATGTCCAAAGCGGCACTCAACATGCTTACCGAGACAGAAGCAGAGCCTGCTTGGCGTAAGAAGCGTATCGCCATGAACACAGTGGATCCGGGATATATGAGTGCGGCGCCTGAGTATGAAGATGCTTTCGAGGGTATGAGGCCGATTGGCTGGGAAGACGGGGCTGGGAGGGTGTTGTGGCCGATTGCTGTGGCGGAGATGGGAGAGAGAGTTGTTTGGGGAAGGTTTTTGAAGCACTATGGAGTTGTGGAGGGGGAGGCGGGTAGGGGGTGATGGAGGAAAGGGTCCAGCAGTACTATCCAGCAGACCTGTTCTGTAGCGTCTTGTTGCATATCTGTATGTATCCTTGTATCGTAAGGCAAGAGGGTATCGAAGTCTTGGTACAGTAATGACAAAGATCACGAGGCATGGCTGCCGTGTCTAAACGGCTAGTGTCCGGAGTAATATAACGGGCCAGACGCGTGACGCGGTAAGGGAAGGGTCAGGGTTTAGCTTAAACAGCTCTGCCGAAGCCAGCCCCGCCGAAACGTCAAACTGCAATCGAGCGTCTCTCCAGTCTCCAGCACGCCGCTCCGTCAGTTCACTCTGGCGCTGGTAAACGGCCGAGTCGCATTCGCACGCCAATTCTACATACGTGTGTGTAACTACATTACCTAACAGTACACTCTGTTCACTTGGCTAGGCAGCCGTATCGTGGGGCCGTACAAGTACAGCGCCGACAGTTAGCAAAGCACTGGACAGACACACGACTATCCACCGCTCGACGAGTCGAAACCCAAACATCCACCATGGCATCCTTTTTCGAACAGCTATGGGAGTCCATCTTCATTGCGGGGCCGACGCCCACGCTCCTTATCGCAACAAACGCCTCGTTCGCCGCGCTCCAGGTCCTTTTGTTCGTCATGCTCATTGCGACGTACAGCATACACTTTGTTATTCTCTCGATTCTTTGTGGAGGGCTTTGGTGGTCAATCAACTGGTTTGCGACGGAGCTTCGCGCTGCCCAAGCCAAGGAGGAGGAGGCAAAGCGCATCCGGGAAGCCAGAAGGGGCGGCAAAGAGAAGGGTGACGTAGGCGACGACGGAGAGGGAATGGACACAGGCGACGACACCGAGGTCGACACCGAGGTCGAGCAGAAGCAGACCCTCAAGCCCAAACCCAACCCGCCGCGTGCGCCACGCCCGGAAACGCAGAGTACCGTATTCGTTGAGAAGCCTGACGGAAGTGAATCAGACAGTCCAACACAGCTCTCGGCTTCTGCGGGTCGTGGAGGCCCTACTGCTGCTAGCACTACGGGGGCGACGACGAGTCTTGCGGCACCTGTAGAGGATGCGCTGAAGCGAAGGAAGGGCATGGGAGAATCAACCGGCGACATATCAACCGACAGCGAGTGGGACAAGCTGTCGGAGGACTCTGAGGATAAATGAAAGGTACCATGATCTTGTTAGACGCTATTCAACACTGTTGCGTATATTTGGAAACTAGACGCGATTAGACTCTGTGGACCTGTACATCCATGTCCTTACACGTGAACACGCGCTGCCGCCTTTGTTACCCTGCATATGGGTTATCGCTGCCAACAAATTCCTGGTACCATGTCGCCATGGTTTCCACCAGCACCCTCTGCCCTTTGTGCCTTTCCACTTGATGTTCGTTCCCTGTGCTTGATGCCCAACCATGTCATGACGGACTGGCCGTGCTTGCCACGCGCCGCACCAGGGCCCTGGATGCCCCGCCTTGATGCAGCATTCACCCATCACAGTGCCACAGACTTGATTGACTTGATGCAGCGCTCGAGATAATCCTCACATGTCGCTGATGAGGACGCGTAACCTTTACCCGCACCGGTAGCGGTCCTGCTTGTCGATAAGTTGTTGCCTTGAGGCTCAATTCGCGAATACCCAGTTGCTTGTACCTCGTGCCCACCCCGCCACATCCACAACACTCGCCCTCATGGCTACCATCAACACCCCCGTGAGCCTTCCTGAGGTGACGGAACAAGCCGGGAACTACACATACAATGCGCACATTCCGTTGGCGAATTGGCTGCGCACAGCCAGTACTATGCAAAAAGAGGCCCAAGTCTATGAAGCAGAGGGCAACGACGCGCAGACCTATCTCCTCCTGTACCGACACGCCGATCTCATCCTTCAAAAGCTACAGGGCCATCCGGATAGAAACAAACCGGAGAACCGGAAAGCGCTGAATGCTGCAACGGCAGCCGTCAGTCGAGATCTGAAGAAGCTCGAGGAGATTGCGCCGCGCATCAAGAAGAGACATGATGAACATGAAGAAAGGAGACGGAGACAGAAGGAAGCTCTAAGGTCGTTGGAAGGAAATGGCGTCGGAGCGCTTCCCCAGGAGCTGGACGGGCTGGCCATTCAAGACCGAGGGTCCAAGAGAAGGTCATTCGATTCCAGACCCACAATCGATGCACGCTCTGTGGAAAACCAATCACTGGCCGCAAGACTGGCGCAGAGGGAAGTTCGGAGGAGAGACACCATTAGAAGAGGTGTGCGACAGTATGGCGTGTCGGAAGAAGAGGAGCAGGCACGTCGAAGTGGAGGCACATGGGACAGCTGGCAGAACCAGCTCACCCAGCCAGCGGGCGACGGAGATGATATCTCGAACCAACTGCAAGAAGTTGCAAGGCTCCAGCAGAACGGCCATAGAACATCATACTCCTCGGTGCGCCCCATGCAACAGTTTTGTGGTTCCTGTACTGACAAATCCAGCGTCCTACGTCTCAGACCGCGTCTCCATATCACTACCCTACCGTTCCATACAAGACCGCTCAAGACAGATGGTCAGACTCACAGTCGCGCGACGCAGCACCTGCGCGACCTCCGAAAGAGCAGATATACAGACAATCCGGAACACCGTCAGCGCCACCACCCTTGCCGCCCAAGTCGCCAGCTTCTACGTACGATGCGCGATTCGGCCACTCGCGGCCTCCGCCTGTCCCAGGCAAGATCTCGGAAGGCGCGCCACCTCTACCAAGCAAGATACCCGACCAAAGACCGTTGACTCCTTCAGCCGAACTCGACGAGTTTACATTCAAGCCTTCTGCATTCCTCGAGAATGGCGACCCCCTTCGTCCTGTCTTCCTCCCCTCCCAATTGCGCAATCAGTTCCTGGCTGTTGCTTCGTCCAACACACGTCTCAACTTGGAAACATGCGGTATGTTGGGTGGAATATTGAAGTCTAACGCCCTCTTCATTACACGGCTTATCATTCCCGAGCAAACAAGTACAAGCGACACATGCGAGACGTTGAATGAAGAGGAGCTATTCGACTACTGCGACAAAGAGGAGCTCATGGTTCTTGGCTGGATCCATACACACCCAACGCAAACCTGCTTTATGAGCAGCAGAGACTTACATACGCACGTCGGATACCAGGTCATGATGCCGGAAAGCATCGCAATCGTTTGCGCACCGACAAAACAGCCTAGGTATGCTGATATCCTCACGACCGCGTTCGAGACACTGACCATATTACAGTTGGGGATGCTTCCGCCTGACTGACCCCCCAGGCAAACAAGCCATTCTCAATTGCAGCCGACCTGGTATCTTCCATCCTCATGATGTCGATAACATCTACACGGAAGCCTTGAAACCAGGCCACGTAGTTGAGCTGACCGATGCGCCGTTGGAGATTGTTGATATGAGGCCTAAGAAGAACTTTTAAAGACTGCCTTCTCTACACTTTGAGGACGATATGACCGCAAGACCAATACCCAACCCATGGAGATTATCCATCACGAAGGAACAAACCTTACCGCATAGCGAGGAGTTTTTGTGCATTTGGGATTCTATGAATCTGCTGGTGTGTTTCAATAGGATTAAATGTGGCATGCCTAAAGACCAGCATACGAAATCAGTATTGCCCGAGTATCATTGTCCTTTGGCGAAAACCAGCATTTACGGAGTAAATGTGTCGAGTATAGTTCGAGCATCTATCACCACCGTCTCTTTCTCGTTTTGGGCGACACAATATCCCGGTTTTTCCCTGTGTCCCCATGCCCGTTGTCCGCACTGTATACTTGCCATCCGATAGGTCAATTGGGCGAGTAGCTGAACACCTTCATCACCTCGTTCCAAAACATAGATCATCAGTCATCGACCGATTGCAAAAACATGAAAGAGCAAGATCACTTCACATTGATCGTCGGTACTGTTGATGGCATGTTACGTCGATACTTATGTGCTACGCTGATCTTAACAATCTTCCCAAACTCGATATAAAGAAGCAACAAACAGCTCACTTGGCACTGCACCGGCAGGTTCCGTTTATCTTTAGATGAGTATGGGGGATGAGATTGCTTTTCTTTCCTAGCCCACGTGCGAAAAGAAAAACCTGTTCACGCATACCACTACGTTGGTATCGAACATCGAACCCGACATTGAACCCGACATTGAACCGAGCCCTACCACCCCTTCCTGCCAAGAAAACACATCTACATCGCAGATAAAACAGTTCACGATCGTCGACGTCATCGCACGAAGGCGTTAAACAAATCATCTTGATTCCACCTACCCCCTTAGTCGGCTGCTGCTATCGGATAAGACCCGTGCCGGTATCCGAATTGCCGACCGATAACTGCTCCCCGAAACATTTCGGGAGATCGACAAATCGACAATGGCATACATGTAGCGTTCCCTTTCTAGTGCTGTCCTGCTCTTTGGCCAAGGAATCATTCGTTCGTATGCATATATGCAATATGCCATGTTGCCGAATGTGGACAGGGGATGATGCCTCGAAACAGGTTTCCGTCTGCTGGGTTCTGATGTAGTCAAGGGCAGACTCGACCTGAGTGTCGTATCAGGCCCGCACGAAGCTAGTTGTTAGGGCTATGGGGGTTTGGTAGCGTAGTTCGCTGTATTGAGAATATCGCGCGCGGGAACGGAGGGTCGTAAGGCGTTCCATTCATTGGTTTGGAGGAACGCGTGGTGCGCAGGAGGGAAAGTCAGGTTTCTTGTGGTATTCAGTGTTCTAGATGGGATTTCGGATCAAGCCGAAGGATCGTTAGTCTGAGGGGTTGTGGATGTAAGAGTGACTGTAGAGCATGTCATGCATGCAGGCGGGTACAGTGGGTATATTGGGCGTAGACGCTCCCCTGGCATCGCTGATGCACTCACGCGTATCTGATCGAATTCGTAGCTGTCGCACATTGTTTTTCGTGAGGCTCAGTCAAGATTCCCATGCCAGCCAGCCACCGCGAGCTCAATTCTTCATAGTACAAACTCCAAGAGTAATCATCGCATTCGGCGTTGAGATCGGCAACCCCCCCAAAGAACACCAGTATACTTTCGGTATATCTACGCTAGCCGCATGGCTTTGCTTCTTCTACGTTGTTCTTAGTTAGCCAACGGAGCTTAGATGTTTTAGCATATGTTGGGCGTGTATCGAAAGGAAAACTTCGCACATCTGCCGTGATCGAGCAGAGAAAGTGTATCGAGCCCCCCTCAGCCCAACTTAGAGGTCGCTGTCTGACATCGTTTGCTGGGTGATTACGACGCTGGTGTCGATGCGCACGCGTTTTGGTATGTGCGACATGTAGTCGGCGATAAAGTGAAGAGTCAGCTGCGTGCTTCGTATTTGGTGGCCTTATCAATCGGAACACCGTTAGCAGCGATCGTACGAGAAATTTCTTAGTCGGCCGAGGAAGGTTTGAAACATATGGAAGGAGCTGAAGGACTGACTGGATACGCCCACGCAACCTCATGTCATCGAATGACTAGGATGTGAAAGATCCCAAACGTGTGGTACCGAAAAGAGCGACGCGCAGCGGGGAAAGGGAGGCTGCACAGCTATACCAATTCCAGCGGTCCCGCCAAGCCTACTCCACAATTCTGGTTGGTGCTAGGTGTTACTAATCGCGTGTCCATACTCGCTCAAGAGGCTCGGGCTGACCATGGAAATGTTGTTGATCATCAGTAACGCTCTTGTTAACGTCTACAAGTAGATCGGGGTGACAACGTCGAGGTTACGTCGCATCAGTGATCAATGTCTGGTAGCGGACTCTGCAACTGTTCCCGCGGCCCCGCTCGTTTGCGTGCAAACACTTGTCACGGAGATGTACAAACAGTTGTCTATTGATAACGTGGTTGAGAGACAATGCCGGAACGGTGGGGCGTGGTTGAATGCGGAGAGTGTTCCAGCAGCCTCTATAGGATCGGCAACTGCAACTTGACGTCAAAAAGCCGCAAACTTTAGGTACCCATCATCTTATTCCCAGGTGGGAATACATCTTGTATTTTACAGGGTCCATTCAGTTTTGCCGCATGTCCATGAGTGGATTCTTTTGCATTCGCGCATCAGTCAGCTTTGGCAACGGAATACTAGGTGTAGTTGATTCGTGTTCTTCACCCTAATATAGTAACGTCGCCATTGGAGGACTGCGTGCGGGAGCTCCACAACTTGTGGCGTACGCGTAGGCTAGTCACCATCAGAACAGATGAGGTTTGGATAAACTTTTACGATTGGGGTAACAAAAAAACGGATAAGCGGCAGCAGAGCCTTTGTCCCTCGCCGGACTCAGAGCTAGATGTTAGGCGGCCGTGAAACCACGTTTGTGTGACGTCGTTCTGTGGACTGATTGCCGAAGGTCCAGACGTCTAGATCTTCGGACGGGGAAAGCCGAGTCGTGGTCAATAGGGATGGCTGCTGAAGGAAAGGCCGCTAGACAGTTGAACTCCTTGGGTTGACGCAGTGATGTGAGCAATATGTGCGCAAGGACGAGATCTAGACAATTGTGCATTTGAGTCCAGTATCAAACGTGAGATGGCGGTTATCTGACCCAGACAGATAGTGGATTGAAAATATCAAGAGTAAATGTCGATGTTTGTAAGTTATGGCAGTGGCTAGCAGATAAGATAACGTCCCCTTGACCTAGGGCTAGCTTCTCTTGATGACAGGAACAAATATCCTACATAGGCAATTCAGGTAAGACTCAAGCTGACCAGCCACGGTACACAATCTTAGTGCCATACTTCTCGCCTTTCTTGAGTGTCATCATAGACTTGTACTCGGGAACGTTGACAGCGTTCACATAGCGGCTGGGTTCGACACAGAAGCCAGAACGGGCGCCTCTGGCAGGAACATCGCCAACAGCAGGTACATCGATATATTTACCAGTGTAGAATTGGAAGGCTGGTTCAGTCGAGTGAATCTCGAGATGAATCTTGCTCTCTGGATGGTAGAAAGACGCGAGCTTTTGCAGAGGCGAGGAACGAGTATCGATGGGGATGCTGCTGGGGTCGGTATTGGCAACGAAACAGTCGTCGATGTCAGGCTCTTTCTCCCCCAAGGTGAAAGTCTTTTTGGCGCTGACGCCAGGGTACTCTTCGATAGGCCCAGTGGGAATGCCGCCATCGTCTACGACTTGGTACTTGTTTGTGATGAGGTTCACTTCGGTTCCCGTGATAGTGGGCCCGCCAGATAAATTGAAGTAACTATGTACGCTATCAGTATGGCATCCATATGAGGTCCGTCGCAGAACTTACCTGTGGTTGGTCATGTTGATTGCAGTCTCTTCGACCTCATCGCCAACCAATTCAGCCTCATATTCAATGTACAGGACTTCCTGTTGAGCACCATCTACTTCCTCTCTAGCTTGTACATACCACACGCGTACCTCTACAGTACCGGGGTAGCCCTCTTCGCCATCCTTGCTGATGTATTTGAAGAAGGTAGCCTCCTTTCCATCACGGTCAACAGTAGACGGTCCTTCAAATTCTCGCTTTCCCCAGCCGAGATTTCCACCATGAAGAGAGTTGGGACCGTTGTTAACTGGCAGCTGGTAGGACTTCCCGTTGAGGTCGTTGATCTTTGCCTTGGACACGCGGTTGGCGATACGACCAATTGTCTCGCCAAAGTACGGGGCGTTGTATTGCTTGTACAGTTCTGCCGATGGGAAGCCCTGGACAATGTTCTTCCCGTTCACTACAAACTTTTGAATAATAGCGCCCAGGGGCAGAAACGTAAAGGCCTTGGTAGAAGACATGATACGAACGTCGATGTGACTGATCTAGTTTAAAGATAGGCGAACTCCCGTACGTTTGATCTACATCGCTCTGATTAGTTGGATACTTCAAGCGCTATGAGCAGCTACCACTATTGCTGCACTCTCGTGAGGTCTGATGTGGTGTGATGAGGGGTAAACGTTCCGGAGCGGGGCAGCTACAGGACGGCGACGCACCTCAGCTAGTAGTCTGGCTTTGCTTCGAGTATTGTCTTCGTCTTGAAAAAAAAGGTAAGTAATGCTCGTAAAAGGTCCCTTGGATACTTGAGCTTATGGCCGTGAGAAAAGAGTGCGCGCTGCAGACCTTAGGTACGTATGCGGCGATTGATTAGCCTAATGAGGGTGTGGAGCACTCGTGGACATCCTTTCTGCCGTCGTCACCACGTAAGGTACGGCAGAAGTGTTCACTCGCGAGTACGCAAACGACGCGTCGGACGGCATGCCGTATAGGGACTTGGATCGCTTCGCCTGATGGACTTGTGGCAGTGCGGGTGAATGCGAAGGGGACGTGGGGCTGAAAGCTGCAATTAGTAATCGAAAGTCAAAGCGCGCACACTGAAACCCGCGAGCATGGTGATTAACATCGTCTTCGACTATGATACATTTGAGATTTACAATAACGCCATGAATCTGATCGCCTTGCTGGTCGGTAATCCTGACCGAAGGACTTTATTCGAGATTGCCGATCCGTGGAGTTTCGTCCCAACTATGCTTTGCGCAATATTTCACGTCATCGTGAACCGTCGAAACATCGACAAAAGAAAAGGAAATCGCCAGAAGATCACTGGAAGCCGGCCGAATAACGCCGATTGCCATGACCGAGATGAACGCCGTATAGGAATGGAAAGTATCCCAGAACGCTTGAACGCTAAACGAAAATACGGAGGAGGAAGCGGAGTTAAGCCCGGACCAATGATCATGCGCCAACGGGATTTTGTATGAAACTGCTGAAATCCAGGTCGCTATGGATGTTCCAGTCTGGCATCATTGGGTCGCTTTGATTTATCGAGATCGGATCCACCATCATGTTCTGATCGTATGCGCCAAAGTTGTCGAATCCATACATGGGCTTGCTGAAGTCTACAGGGTCTTCCATCATCATGGTGTCGTTCATCCATGGCGCTCGCGACAACGTCGAAGGATCCATCGCAGTGCTGCTCATGAAAGGTGCTTGTACCATGGGTGCTTCTTGCTTGACTGGCGATACTACTTGAGATTGTCGGGGAAATGGGCTGTTCATTGGCGGTGTTGGCGGCGCGTTGTGACGTGCAAATGGGCTGTCGAAAGCGAATGATTTGGTGGTCGGAGTACCGTTATACGATGAGTTTGGTGAAACATGGCCATGTTCAGAGTCTGAGCTAACGGATGCCCGTCTTCGGGTGTAGGGAGCACCTCCTTCGATCAGTCTTTGTTGCATGCGAGCAGTGTCTTCTTCAAAGCCCTCGTAATGACTCTTGTCGTCTCCGGATGAGTGCAGAAGATCGAGGCGTTCCAGAATGTCGTGCGTCAATGGGTGGCCGCCTGTGGATTCCTGCAGTGGCTGTCCTGGCCAGCTCTCACCCCTTTGTAAGCGGTTGTAGAGCTCACGAAGTCCAGCTACTAATTGCGTTTGTTGTTGTTCCAACATCTCAACGTATCTGTATTTGTTAGACCAAGGAAGACTAAAGGAGTAACGAGTAACGTACCCTTTCGGGTAGACTTTGTCTTGCGACTTCTTCCTCTCACCGAATACACAGATAGCGTTGTCGGCTTTGCATCGAGTGCAGGGGCTTGATCCGTCACACTAGTATGGTTAGAGAGATGTACATAACACAGTTCAGACGATACATACTTTTGACTTCTTCAAGCGGCATCGATCACAGGCTTTGCACACTCGCTTCCTAATGTTGTCCTGAGCCTCCATCGAATCTGACCTATGAGGAGACATGGCGTCTGGATTGAGTTGAATGGATGGTGTGCAATGTGAGTGGTGTGGCTGATTTAAATTACGAGTCAATGTTGTAGAGGATAGGATATCTTGTGGATGGAGTAGGGTATTCAAGCACACTTGTATCGAGAAGTGGAAGTGGAAATTAAGCCCTAAATAAGGTCGTAGCCTTCTGTGGGTAGCAAAGCATTATATCTTTTCACGTCAGAGGATAGTCAAGGCGGACGTTCGGCGTTAACCTTGTGCCCTTAGGTGCAAAAGCTCAGTAATGAAACTGTAATTATGAAATCCGCCGACCCTGGGCAGCTAAGCACCCCTGTCTTCTTACACATCATCAATCGGCGCACGTACGTTGGATTACATTAGTCGATGTGCAGGGATGCTTGGCCTCTTGCAGGGCGCCAACCATTCAAGGACTGGGCTCATTTGGCGGAGGACTCGAGAAAGCGAGAGCGCGGAGTCGGCCAACGAGCGGACCGTGACCGTGGCCCACGAAACTTGCTATGGAGAAAAATCCGCCCTGTGGTAGCAGAACAGGTGACGTGAATTCGGCGAATACGCGGGCGTAAGTACGCTCGAAAATCTCTCTGGATCGCATCGCAGTACTCGGCTACCGGCAACATGACATCCACGACCAAAAACGTGCGGACAAAACGCGCTTCCCGAATCTCCAGAAAGGCGCGAATCCCCAGCCATTGGGCTTTTTGCCGAGCTCGTCATCAACGTTGACCATGTGCTTCATCAGTTGCAAGGTTGACCGTCAGTCCACCTGTCATCATTATGCTTTATCACTAATAACGTTATTTTGACCGTGGTTCTGGCAACTACCCGGTGTACTTTGTACACGCTCAAGCTTCGGCCGAAGAGAGGCATGACTGGCTGACTGATTTGACAGCCGACCGATCTTTCTCCTGGCTGAAAATTCGCTCTCTCGGACGTTAGAAACGGCTCGCGGCAACTTCAGAGGACCCGTCCGTCTTCAAGTGACTCGTCCGATCTGAAAGGGGACTGGAGCGAGATAAGCTGAGCGAATATGCGGAAATTTCATGTGAAGACTCACGCAACATCCCGTCTGCGCGTCGTTGAACAGGGAGAAATACTGTTGGGAACGAAATAAATCTCCAGCAGCTGTATACTGTTTATGGTTACCGTCGCTTGTCATTGTAAGCGCACTACATTCAGCAGACTGCATCGTCTGGAGTTGCTGACAGCATTCTGCACATGACTTTGCCCCAGCCACAGACTTCAGTATGGTCCAATGTGAAACTAGCTTTGGCCAACATTGCCCTCTGAGAGTCGCTATTGTGTGTGGGCTTTACTGGCAGTCGCATTGTCTTTTGCGTGTCCCGACTAGGTAGTCTCGGTTATACATGATCACCCATGATCGAGCCACCGCAAACATTAACCGCCCGATTGTTCACTCATCCATACTCATCTACACTCAATTGCAAGTTCAGGAGTTATTTGCTATTAAGCTTCCTACATCGTTGAATACATCATTGGCAAGGCACACATCTTCTTGGTCTGAGAGATTTGGTGTTGGGCGACCCGCACAAAGCGTCGTCAGGCAAGGGGGCTGAGGGTCGTTACTTTCGTACATTCTTGCGAATGCCGTATCCATCAGGCTCAATGCGTCTATACGACACCTTCGCTGACAAGGCCTGCCATGTCTTGGCAGGACGTGGCTCATATACGCGGATACATTTCACGTGTAATGAATGTCAGCGCCTGCAGTCCAAGCGGGGAATGGATGCGACACTTTGTTCACAATCACTTTAGGCGGTTCTTCGCGACCTCACCATTGCGGTGATGCAGACCGCTGATATAGGCTTCAGCATATCGGCTGTCCTCCCGGAGCTCATAGCTCGTTAGCGGTAACGGTATGTCTCCTGTCTACTGAAGTACAGAGCGGGCTCGGCGAGTTATCTCGCATTCTTGGATGGCTTACGAACTGACCAGTGCGGAGTTGGTAAGAGCGATCATGTAAGCCCATAAACTCGTTTGTAAATTCGGCGGTTCTCGAACACCTCAGGGTTCTTGACGATCAACCCCGCTGTCATTAGGCCTTCATTCCAACGTAGTTACCAAGCTTCTTGAAGCTGTAGAAACCATCAACCACGAATGGTCAGGCGCCAGTCCCTTCTTGTTTCCAAAACAAAAAGCGTTTGTATGCAAAGTCTAGCAGGTTTGTAGCCTCCTTTTAGAGACGAGTAACAGCGGTCTTCCTTGTCACGTTGGGCGAAGAACGTTCGCCCTGCCCAACCATAGCTCAGTAGAGTTTCATCGCTGTTATGGGAATCGCGATGCAAATCTCTACCTCTCCCTACAAAGCCTTGCTGCGTTATCATAGTAGTGTCAGGAGTCTGCCTGCGCTGACATGGGCCTTGCATGAATGCAGCTGCTCCCGTGAAACCGTCAGTACTCTGCCCAACATGATTGGCAAGATCGACAACCCTTACGGCTTACATAAGTGGATGAATATGCTCCACGAAGCTTTGTCACAACAGGGGTTGTCGCATTAGAGACATCGTTGACCCGTTGTCATTTTCGAGGCCGCGTCCCATCAGGCGGCATTACTCCAGAAACAAGCCCGACGGTAGCACCTGCACTGCCAACAAACAGGGCATTGCCAATCGTAAGACATCGAATACATCGCTGATCTATGCATGTTCCATATAGATGGAGTCGATGTTGAGGCTGTTCACCGCACGTTTCGAAGTGTCAAGACGATCAGGCGATCGTGCCACAAGAAGCCAAGAGGCACATGCGTATTCGCTTTTGCCCATACGCGACAGGCGAGCCATTAGCCACAGGCGCCACAAAGCGCCCTGAGGCAAAGGTGGACGGATCGTAGACATGCCGGCTGCCGAGGTGCCAATGGAGTCGCGACGGAATAGCCTTCTCACGTACGCACATTGATCCGTCTCCATCGTGTAATTACTGGGCGAAGGGGTGTTAGTGGTAACCTTCCTCTACACTAATTCGCGGAGTTAGATTGCTGGGCATGCTCCAGCGTCGGATAACCAAGACTTCCGCCCAGGTGTCGTTTAGGTCAGTCCTGAACTCCGCCTCATGATCTCCACAAGTTGTTTCCCAAACATGAAAATCGATGGTCACGGGATCCATTCGGGCCCCGACGATGTATAGGGTCTTATCTCAATTCGAGATCCCAGCTTGGAATATGGACACTCTATCGCTCATTTGGGCGCATCCTGGACAGTTCGATTTCCCAAGCCTCAAGGCGACGTGTACACTGTACTGAGGAGCAGTCTGGCGCCAAGGCTTGACCGGTTGTGTTCATCTTCCGCCAGGGACGAAAATACTCGGCACCTGTTTTCATGCTCGGCAATGGGCCATCCAGCCTCCGTCTCGAAAATCCGAAGCCGAGCCACACGGTTGTCGTGAACGCGATGTCCGAGCCTGATCTGGAAGGCTCTTCCCGACTCCAGCGCTGGTTTGGTCGTTTTTGCTCTTACCATCCAACGTGAAATGATGTCAACGAACTAGGGAAACCATTTTCGCTCAGATGGCTGGCTCGCTGTGGGTTTTCTTCCGAAGTCAGTAACAAGCCGATTATTGCAGTGCATCCTGGCTGGCGAAAATTTGCCAATCGTTCTGTTTAGACCAGCCAAGGTCGAGTTGAGCCTCATAGACAGGAATAGCAATGAGGCGAATCACCAAAGCGTTCCCACTTAGGCCCCATCACACAATTTAAGGCTGAAAGCTTCAATACTTAGCCCTGCGGCATATCCACCCACGTCACAGCGCATTCCAAGTGCACGAAAGCCACGTTGTTGAGGTCTCGAACAAGGGGCGTTTACTAAGAACATCGCGCTGCGGCCCTGGAATGCGCCTGGAGAGGAAAGACGACGCGAAAGCCGTACACCACCAACGACAAAACTGAAGCCATGTTGGTAACTCCTTCGGCCGCAAGTCGGGCTCTGGGGGAACCTCCTATCTTCAGATAGTGCTCAGACCCTCTGCATAGCACAACGCGTCTCATCGCACTTGACGGCATCAACATACCGACTTTTGTAGCATGCATCATCCATGTGACAGCATCACGAATAACTGCAGGAATTGCTTGTCGGCAATATCCGTAACGCGACCGCGAAGGACCTGGTGATCATGATCGACCCGTTTACAGCATATCCACAACTGGATGGGGAACCCCAGCTCCAAGCGCCAGCTCCAAGCGCCAGCTCACTGGTTTCGCCGAGAGCGAACAGCATCCCCACTTGGACCATGATCGCGATGGTCGAGACTCGTTTCATGAGTGCGCGTCTTTGTGTCAGCCACCTGCGTTCAGTTCTGAGCTTCAAGTATGACGTTGTTGTACAGCGCTTTCACATACGCCATCGCCCTTCCTTTCTTATCAGTCCGACTAGCACAAAGTCTCTCTGTGAGAGAACACGGCAAACCTGCCACGGTAGGTCAACAATCAGTCACGATCTTGACGACCAGCGGGTCCAAGAATGGAGCATTCCTTCGATGACAAAGTCAGCGATCGTACGAACGTTGTTCGAAATAACTTAGTTTCGGCTTGTCGCACACGAGTATTCGGCCCTTCCGACACTCTGATTTCTTGGACGAAGATGACTGTCCGAGATCGACGTGCGGGACGGGGCAATTGGCGTCCATACGCCCGTACCTGTTTGCTTCGAAATACCTCTGGATGCCCGCCCGTCCGCACAAAATCTTTACTCATTCATGGACCACAACTTGTCTAGAAACGATTTTATACTGGAAAGGCCACTGGTGTCAATGCATGGTGTCGTTGGTGCTATTGCATACTTACAATCACCAATACCTGTACTCCAGACTGCCTGGTCAGAAAGAGATATTAGTTGGCAGCGTGTGGGGGGGAAGAAGCTTCACATGCGACACGTGCGTCTTCATATTAGGAAGGGATGCGACCCCCACTACCTTGCTGCTGGTAACAGCCTGATCGATGCGTATCGTAACCCACCACTAGGTCTCTCCCATTGCAGCAGATTCTC